CTTCTTGTTGCTTTCCCATTCGCACTCTAACCTGTTGTCCTTTCCAGTCCTTTAACCTCAAACCTTTGCACACTTCTCGTATCCCACTTTTCATATCGTCATATCCCACCTCACATGATCTGTCCCGTCCCCCTCATTCCTTGCTTTTCCTATTGCTCCTACCTACTCTCTTACTCTCTCCCCCTCTCTCATGCTCTCTTCCATGCCCATTCTGCACGCGGAATACATGCCCTGGTGCAAGAAAACAACACATCTCCCTTCACTTTCCTAACCCCATCTATCTCCTGCTATTCTAAACAATGTCCTTTGGGTTGCCTTTCATGCCTCTGTTGCAGTTGTTCAGATTTTTGCTGCTGAAGGAGTTGCTTTTATCTGCTTCTCTTTTCCATGCAACTTGACCTCTCTGTATCTATCTACCACATGCCCACCTATGTTCATGTTTGCAGAGGCCTTTCTGCCAATCAGCTCACTGGCTCAATTCCTGCTGCAATTGGCAACCTCAGAAACCTCAAGCTGCTGTAAATAGACACGAGAAAGCACCATAAATGAATGGGTTTGAGCCGAACCTGGTCAAACCGGCTGGTGCAACCGAACAACCTCCTTGGTTCCGGTTGAACCAGCCTGAACAGCTCATGACTCAACGTTAAAGCCCTCAACTTGAAACATGAAGGGGCTTGGTTCGATCTGCTGCAGCTTACCGTACCCTTCTCCCTCTGTGTTTTTTCATACATCCTTTCTTGTTGCTTCCCCATTCGCACTCTAACCTGTCGTCCTTTTCAGTCCTTTAACCTCAAAACCTTTTCGTACTTCTCGTGTCCCTCTTTTCCTATCGTCATATCCCACCTCACATGATCTGTCCCGTCCCCCTCATTCCTTGCTTTTCCTATCGTTATATCCCACAAGGCATGGGCATTGGCCCGACCCGACCCGACTAGACCCGTTTGGGGCTACCCGAGGGCGGGGTCGGGTCGGGTGGGGTATACCCGACCCCGGGTAATTAGGTAAAGGGTGAATACCCGACCCGCCTTGTACACCTCGGCCCTCGGGTATTTAGAGCCCGAGGTCGGGTCGAATATACCCGTTATTGATTATGTTCTGTAATTATTATGTTTATTTCTAAACCTGCTTTAGGATTACATTTGTCGGGTTTCACATACCTGACATTGGACATCCGGGTCGAGTAACGGGTAATAAAACACCCGAGCAAGTATACACTACCCCACCTGCCCGGGTAGTCACTTCAAATGTAAGAACCAGGCCCGACTAAAAAGTCGGGTCGGGTCGGGTTACCCGACCCGTCCGGGTAAAGTGCCATGATCTGTTCCATCCCCCTCATTCCTTGCTTTACCTGTTGTTCCTACCTTATTTCTGCCTCTCTCTCACTCTCTCCCCCCCTCTCTCATGTTCTTTTCTATGCCCATTCTGTACACGGAATACATGCCCTGGTGTAAGAAAACAACACATCTCCCTTCACTTTCTTAACCCCATCTGTCTCCTGCTATTGTGCACACATCTCGGGAACAATGTCCGCTGCGTTGCATTTCATGCCCCTGTTCCAAATTTCAGAAATTCCACCTCCGATTAAAGGTGTTTGCTTTCTCCAATCTGCTGGTAGTTTTCCTGCAAAGTTGAGATCCTTGTGTCTACCTAACGCATGGCATTCATGTTAATCTGTGCAGCTTCCTTTTTGGCAATCAGCTCACTGGCACAATTCCCACCGCAATCGGCAACCTTAGAAACCTAACATCCCTGTAAGCCCCTTTGCTTGGCTGTGTTCCCCGTTCTGCCCCTCCCTCCAACCTTTTCCACACCAGTTGACGCCCCACTTTGCATTTTGCATTTTGCTGCACATAGCTTGGGTAGAGTTATGCACGCAACCTTAGTCTGGGTGCTTATCTAGGGTTAGTCTGTTAATATTAGCCCTCAATCTCACATTTGTACTTGTACATTTCATATCCTAGGCTAGTGTAGTTTGCACTTTGTGTTTGGTTGGGTGTACACCCACATCCCAACCAAACCCAAATGTAATCTCCAAGCAATCTCCAACCCACCAATTGGAGATTGCCTTGGGATTACCCTTGATTCCCTAGGATTGCCCCCTGATTCCCTCCTCATCCATACCTTGCTCATTTCTGATGTACTTAAAGAGCTTTGAGCTCACTACTAATGTATCAGTTCTAAGCTCAAACTTTGACACAGTCAACCCTACGTGTGGTTGGATACCCACCTTTGGCCCGAATAGACCCCCAAGGCTGGGTTTGAAAATAAATGAACTCCTAAAAATTCTTGGCTCATTGTTAGTTGATATTGTCTACCCTGCCCTAATCTTTAAACCTCAACTTATTGGGGGGGAGCAATAATGTTGAAGATCCCAACCAAACCCCTCTGTTTTCCATGAACTGCCCACGTCTAATGTAATTTATTGCCAACACATCAATCCTTAAACGCTGTCAATACTTTTGGCTCGCACCCCTACAAGACCTAGTGTTGCTGCTACTCCCGACATGAATCTCGTGCAGATCCCTATCTGGCAATCAGCTCACTGGCACAATTCCCACTGCAATTGGCAACCTTAGGAACCTAACATTCCTGTAAGCCCCTTTGCTTGGCTGTGTGTGTGGTGTTCCCCATTCCGCCCCTCCCTTCAACCTTTTCCGCTCCGATTGATGCTCCACTTTGCGCTTGCGTTTTTCAGCACGTAGCTTGGGTAGAGTTACGCAACCAACCTTATTTTGGTTGCCTATCTAGGGTCAGTCAACCCTATTTGTGGTTGGAAAGACCATCTTAGGCCCAGATAGACCATAGACCTCCAAGGAAAATTTATGAACTCCAAAAAACTCTTGGCTCACCTTTAATCGAGATTATCTGAGCCCTGCCCTAATCCTCCAACCATAACTTTACTGGTGGGGGTAATAATGTTGTAAGATCCTTCAGTTATTTTAACTCACACCCCTACAAGATGCTAGAAGAACCATGTACGTATCCCACGTGTATTCCTCCCCGGGCTTGCTTAGCCGTATTCCGTGTGCCTCCAAATGCAACCCCTCTGCCAGCTCTCTCCATGCTCCTTGAGCCTCCCTGCGCTTCTTTTGGTGGCTGGCTTTGCCGTCCCTCCTGCTCCTCCAATTTCCCGTCTGCCTAGCTGTTATGCTCCCTCTGCACCCATTGGCACCCCTTTTGTCACAGGATGTACGAGTAAACGGAATAGAATCGTGACATGTTTTAGTGAGGTGTTCTGATTACATGAGTCGTGTTGTTTGATTCGCGTCGGCCAATTCAAATTGCGACATTTTCCCGTTTCCCAGAACGTTGAGTTTCGCTATCTACAAATCGTTTATTATTTGTATGCTAGGGTCGTGCGTGGATGGACTAATCACCTCACTGCCTCAATCCTTCCTGCAATAAAGATCCTCACCTTGCAAGTCTATAAAACCTATATAACTAGGCAACGAACATGGTCCGGTTCTGGTGGAACCTGGCTGAACCAGCGGGTGTAGTCAACCCCATCCACTTTGGTCCGGGCCTACCAGCCTGAACAGCTCATGGTTCCATGTTCTAGTCCTCAAGATTAATTTTGAACAGGGGCGTCGCGTCCTCAAAATGGTGCCTATCGTGCCAAATCAAAGGGCAATGAAATTTTCAATTGGAGGGTTGGAGATTTTGCCTGATCACATCTGGGTAGGGTTGGGATACTGGTGAAACATCCAACCCACAAAAACTACGAGTAGACTAACTGGATACAGAAATCACCTTTAAATGCTATATTTTTCTCCTCTCCTCTCTGTCATTTTCCTCCTCTTGACGCCAGTCCAAACCCCTGCTCGCTCTCCATTGACCTCTCTTCTCCCCTATTCTCTCCTGCTACCTATTTTTTTCATCCAGATCATTTTTGAGATTACACCTCCCTTTCTCTCTCTCCCCTACCCCCTGCAGCGATCTCTCTCGCAACTACCTCACAGGTCCCCTTGTAAAACTCTCGGGCATCAAAGCAGACCTCTCCAACAACTACCTGTCGGATGTGATGCGACGTTCTGAAGCCAACTGCAGCATACACAACATCGTAGCCAACTGCTTCACAGAAGAAAAGGCCTGTGGTCAACTACAGCGGCCACCAGCGCAGTGTTTGGCTTTCTGTGGCATCTCTCCAACCACTGCTGCCTGTGGTGGTCGTGGCGTGTGCTACCTAGACGGACCCAGTTTGGTTCCCACGTGCTTGTGTGGTGCGCGGTCCGAGCAGTTTGGATTACTCCGCTGTATCCCATTCTCAGTAGGTGAGCAGCGATTGTAGCATGCTTTCAGAAGAAGAATAAGGCACTGAGTCTAAGGACGTCGTCGTCTTGGTGCTCCTAAGTGATGCACTTTCTATCCATTTCCTCTCCTTTCTAGCTCTGCACTTACCAAAGGTTGATTAAACTTATTGAGCATGCTGAATCACGGTGCCAACACACTCTAGTCACCATTGACAAGCACAGACCCCATATCTACGGACGTCACTTCCACATGGTTTGACCATATGATCCGGTTTGCACAACTCAACACATACACATTCCGGTGCTCTCCTCCCACTCACTCCCACCCTTCCCCTTCTCCATGCACTGCTGCCCTTCCCTCGCAACTCTCCAGCCACCTCAAGGAGAATTCTCCCACCATTCACGGTTCTCACCAAGGGCGTGCAGCAGGAAACAGTGGGGAAGTTTGCAGAAAAGCCAGTGACCCTATTCATCTACCCGCCTGGTGTGACCTCAAGATGTGGCTTGGAGTTGGCTTTCACTGTCAACTTCACCTTTGCTCTCATGCCCCACTCTGGTCGTGCCGGGCCCAGCGGCTTTGCGTTTGTGATTGCCGCAACGGCCAAGGCAGGGAAACCTGGTGGTGTGGGGTATAGCGGGGTGGGAGCTCGGAGCATAGCCGTTACATTCGATATCGAAGTGAGTCACCAGCACGTAGGGCTCAACATGAATGGTAGAAAGGAAGCCGTGGTGTCGAAGGTATCACCGTTTATGTTCACGGATGGCAATTCATACACGGCATGGGTGGAATATGAGCCTGGGGATCCGGGCACCATTCGAGTGTTCTTGACGAGCTCGAATGAGAAGCCAGAGGAGCCGCTGCTGCAGGCGGGGATGTCGCTGTGTGCGGTGCTGCAGCCGCGGGTGAAGCAGCAGCAGGCGGCGTTCTCGTTTGGGTTTACGGCGTCCACCACTGTGAAGCCCTTCCACCTGCATGGCATTCTCTTCTCCTCTGTGCAAACAGGCAAGGCCTCTATTTTGGGCAGGTGGGGTGATGCTGACTGCGTTGATGATAGATTCGGGGTGGTGGTGGTGAATTGTTGCTGGGAGTGATGGCAATGGTTTATGATGACCAGTAGGCAGGAATAAGAATTTGGCCAAATCAACTGGTTTGACTTGAACCGGTTTGGGTTCAACCAAACCTCTGGCTCAACTCGATTCATTTGGAGCCAATTTGGGTTCAAGCCTTGGCTCATTTCTGATTAACAATACATGTAATGGTTCTATAATGAGTCTTTGCTGGGCACTGATAATGATGTCTCCTGCCACGGCTAGGCATTTGTCGCGCTAGTGGTAGCTAATCAGCATGGACTTGCCTTTGCTACCCACTCTTGTGGTGCTCTCTCCCTATCCAAGACCCAACCAGCACTCTCTTGTGTCCAACCAGCACTCCCTATCCTTCTCTTTCGTCTTGTGGTTTTCACAACAGGCGCCCCTTCAACCAAGGTCGTGCAGACCAAGGAGCAAGGTGAGCTACATGCCATGTGGAAACCAGAACCTTTTATATGCTATAAACCCCCCTTATAATGATGATGATGATGATGATGATGATGATGATGATGATGATGATGATGATGATGATGATGATGATGATGATGATGATGATGATGATGATGATGATGATGATGATGATGATGATGATGATGATGATGATGATGATGATGATGATGATGATGATGATGATGATAATAATAATAATACAAGTTTTCACATGTCAGGCTTCTTTGCAGGCCATTGGAGCTTGCAAGGAGATTGGTTCAGTGACCGTGATGTCGTAAGTCCAGACCGCACCATGCCTTTCCACTACTACCCATCCACATCTCCCTTCATCTCCACCCCTTCCCACCCCTTACAGCCCTCGGCCTCTCACTGTCAGAGGCCACATTCGCACCGACTCGAGCCAGTCCCTTTTCGCGCTATGTGAGTGCGGACTTCAAGCTGTCGGCCACCAAAGCGGACTCGTGGAGCATTCGTGACTTCCACACGTGGGACTCCGTGCCCTTCCTCAACTGGCCTGTCAAGAACCAGAACGACTGCAGTGAGTGGAAATAGACTTGCAAGTCCACTTCAGTATCTGAGCTGCTGTTGCTGTTTACTAATCGATTTCAACAACAAACTTACTAGAAATCCTGGCAATCCGTATTCATAGCCATTTTTTCACTGATTATTGTAGTATGTACTGCGTTCACGCAGCAGATGCCTATGAACCTGCATCTTCTAATAGAAGTCTCACGGGTCAAGTACAGCACATTAAGAGCGATTAAATGGAGAAGGGGGAATGGGAACGCAACTTCATGAAAATCGGCTCGGATTGTGAGGAAACTGGAAAACTATACTTTACCCTCTTAACATAAATTTGTAATCCATATACATGAAACGTGCGGCCTATCTTCATCACTCCATCCTTTCTCGCTTCACTTTGCTTCACCTTCACCTTCCTCTCAGGTGCGTGCTGGGCGTATGCAGTGGTGGCGAGTGTGGAGGCGGCATACGGCATTGCCAAGCAGCAGAGCGCCCCCCGGCTGGCAGTGGAGGCGCTCTTCACCCTCATGGGGCTCTCCGACTCCGACAAGTGCTCCGCTGGCGGCTCCCCCACGCAGGCCTTTGAGACGCTCACAGCTCTCGATGCCTCCAGTGGGCTTACAGGGGCCAGCGACCCGGTAGGGCCAGCAGAATGAGGACGTGGTATGGTATGTATGAATTGTGAGATGGGATAGAGACATGGAAGGTTTATAGGTGTGAGCTTTGTGGAGGGTGAATCACTTTGCCCGCTTGCCTGTTCTTGGGCTTGGAACTAGAATCACAATCACCTCATCCTATCAGAGTTTCTAATATTGGTTGAGAGATTGGTTGCTGATTTGTGGAGCCATCATCTGCCATGATTGAAGTCTGTCGGGTGCCCACTCTCTAGTTTCGCAACTCTATTAAGCCTCCTCGAACTAACCCACACCCACCTTTTCCCATCCAACAATGCTGCCCTCTCGTGGCCCCAGGCAACAAAGTACCCGGTGCAGGCGTTTGAGCAAGCGCGGTTCAAGGGGTATGCGGGGCTCATGCTGGCAGTGTTTTGACCGCTTTTTGTATCTTCCCAATAATCTTTCTGTGCTCTGCTCTGCAGGCAACAACGTACCCAGTACAGGCATTTGAGCGAGCGCATTTCAAGGGGTATGTGGGGCTCATGCTGGCAGTGCAGCGACAGCCAGTGGTGGTTCACATCGAGGCGTCTCCAACCTTCATGCTCTATGATGGGGTGAGTTGTTGTCACTCTCACTCACTATCATGCATGCAAACCGTGCCGTGCGATACTTGTGTTGAAAGTCACCGCTTATATGACGGATTGTTTGGTGCTACTCCACTATGAGTTTGGAAAATACAGACCAATTCCCTTCGCTTTGCAGTGCTTCATTCTGCAACCCCTTCCACAGCTTCTTCATACCCATATCACTGTGCTTCTTGAACTCTTTATTTATAATGTTGTGGCCCCATTTTGTTTCAGACGTTCAAGTACCAGGATCCTGGTTGCTACACGGGCAATCTCAACCACGTTGTACTCGTTATTGGCTACTTCATCACAAGAAACGATGGCAGCCAGAACCGCATTGCGCCTCCGTTTTGGATCATCCGCAACTCGTGGGGAGAAGAGTGGGGAAAGAGGGGTCATATGCGCATGGACATTCAGGGAGGGGATGGCGTGTGTGGCATCAACGTGCTGCCTGGAATCTACCCCATTGTCAAGAGTAAGACACCTAACCCATTGTCGGAAGTGAGGCATATCGGCTCTGTAATATCCACCTCATTACCAGGCAAGAGTGGCATAAAGCTCATGGCATATATGGGACCGTCAATCATGGCACCGTACCTGTTACATGTGCACTGAGTGACGTCTCGCCATTGTGGTACTTGTTAGCTGTTTTGTTGGGTGCAAACAAAAACAAAACACAAAAATCTGCAGTCAAATAATTTTATGCCAAATAAAGAAAAAAAAAATCAGTTTGTATGTCAACCAGCCGCCTGCGTCGCATTTTCATTTTGTGTGTGCGAATTTCCATTTTTGTTTTTTGTGTTCTGTGCGCATTTGTCCTTGCATTTTGTGTGTTTCGTTTTCAATTGTATTTGCATTTTGTGTTAATGCATTTTGTATTGCACTTTCACTGTTCTCATTTAGCTTTCATAAAGCGCTCACATGAGGCTCACATAATGTGCTCAAATGAGGCTCTCATGAAACGCTCAAATGAGAACCCATGAAAGTCACATGAAACTTAAATGTCTCATGCGAGACTAATTGGAGCGGGTGGTGTACCGGGGTTGACTGGCGAGGGGGTGCCAGTTGACTTTCTCGAGCAGGTCAATGGCGCGAAATTCAGGACCCACAAGTGGGTCCTGGCGCGCGCGTGTGGCCCCACAGGGCACGCGTGTGTGCCGCGCACTGTTGCGAGCGTGCACATGTGCATGATCGCAACAAGACACATGTAAGTATAGTGAATTACTTGGCAGTTAAGTGAAGTTAAGTGTTGTCAAGTTTAAGTTTGTAATACTAGTTTAAACGTTTCCGCACAACGTTATAGTAGTCAACATGTTTGTTAGCTGTTCGTTAGCTGTCGACCGCCAACCTCCATTCTCATGTTCCTCAAGTGTATCCTTTTTCACACCTCCCAGTTCCTGGCGACCCCTGCGGCCAGAGCAGCTACAAGGGCGATGGGGATTTGCAGCCCAGCATGAACCCGTGCGGTCGCTTCCAGTGCCAGGGGACTGCAGCAACCACCAACAACTGCACCTGCAATATTCCTGCTGCTCCTGTGCAGCCCTTTGTGGAGGTTGAGAATGGATACGGCTCCAACACATGTGCTTATGGTGAGTTCTGTGGCAATTGAACAAGTGGGTAGAAGGGCAAGTAGGTTTGTCTCGCAAGAAAGTCTGTCTGGCTGTTTTGGCACGCAAAGTTCTCAAATCTATGCAGTGCTTGCATAGCGAGTGAGGGTGAGAAACAAGACTCCTCTCGAAATCTGTGTTCCACATAGTACATACTTCCACCCACGTTTATTGAGTGCTAGAGGTCCCCTAGCTGCAGAGGCCAGAGGTTTGGTCGCCGTCTGGCTGGATGGGAGTGTGCAGCCATATACCCTTTCTTCTATGCTCGTTTTTCCCCCTCCTTTTATCATCTTGAATACCGTATTTGTATCAATGCTCCGTACTATCCGCCACCCACCTGGTACACATGTGGCAGTGGACGTGTGTGGGTCATACTTCAAGAATCCCTGCTACGTGGGAGCGTGCATCAACGATGGCAAGGGCGCCTACTCCTGCATCTGCCCTCCCAACCACGTTCCCAGCACAACCATTGATGGCTTTCCCACTTGTGATCCAAGTAGGTGGCTTAAATATGTCTATAGTTCTCCTTTGCTAGTGATTATGCTTGGTAACCTCCGCTTGGTTGAGAGGGCCGGCATTTTCCCTTTCTCTAATCTCCTTTCTATTTCTGCAGATCTTTAGAGGCTCACTGTCTCTTTTCCGTTGCCTGTGTCTCTTTCACTCCCCATTCTGCATGCAGCCAACACCACGGCCACCACAATGACAGTCAGTGGAGACAACTGGTGGTGCTCGGATGTTCATCCCCTCGTTGGCCTCTCACTGACTGACTTCACAGACCAAAACATTGTGGGTGAAGATGGGGTGGGAGTCACGGGCCATCATCTGTCATTTGGATTGCACTTTCCAGATCACTTGGTGCTCACATAACTTGACTCGTTACAATGTCACTCCATGGTCCCGTGAGTTCTCACGTCAATACAGCTTTGTTCCCAATCGTATGGCTTGGTTCCCAATCGTATGGCTTGGTTCCCAATCGTATGGCTTGGTTCCCAATCGTATGGCTTGGTTCCCAATCGTATGGCTTTGTTCCCAATCGTATGGCTTGGTTCCCAATCGTATGGCTTGGTTCCCAATCGTATGGCTTGGTTCCCAATAGCCTCTCACGCTCGCATGATTACTCCCTCCCAACATGGTAGAGATACCCCTGGCGTATCATATCTCTTAGAACCCTTTCCATGCACGTGTTTCCCAATGCAGGGCATTGACTGCAGCCAGCCATTGCCCAAGGGCAGTGTCCTTCAGCTGGCTGGTACTCCCCCCACACCCTGCACTGCCTTCTTCTACTCCCTCAACGTGAGACCTGCTGCTTTCTTGCCCACCACACCAAATTTTACATCCAACCTACACACCTTCTCAGCTCAACATATCGCATCATTGTCGAAACCAGTGAGCAAGATCCAATCATCTGTGCATTTCTATCCCTGCCTCTCTCCAACCCTCTAGGGGGACACAAGTGCGTACATCAGCAGACAGCTCAACTTCACAGAACCTAATCTCACCGCACTCAACCCCGGCCTTGACTGCTCCAAGCCCATCAAGGCGGGCCGCTCTGTATGCATCGAGCGCAGTGCTGCCTTCGCCTTCACCGTCCCTGAGTGTGTCCGATACGGCACGCTCACACCTCAAGACACGTGCGAGCGGCTGCTTCAAATAACCAGCACTTCATCAGAGGGAGCAAGCGCCAGTGAGAATCCATGGGCTGAGCTGTACCGCAACAATCCCGGCCTCACTTGCTCTGCCACCATCCCTTCCTCTGCCTCGGCTGTCGGCAGCAACATTGGTGTACAGGTGAGGATTGTGAGGGCTGGGGAACCGTTTTTTTATAAAAAGGGGAGAATGGAATATTGTTGACAGATATTTGAGATCTATAGGCTCTAAACACATCTCCCCACGGGGTCACCTCCAAGGGTCCTTGGGTGCCTGGCAGAGCCAGCCCCTATCCAAGGGTCCGTGTTTGTAGAGGGAATTCCCTAAGTGCAAAAAATACTCGTGTGTACTAGAGCGTTCCCAACATTCGTTGCGCAGCGTTGACGACGAAACGGGCTCGTGTGCAGAATAGCTCTTCACGTCAATACGTTGATAGAGCACGTTAACTCGTGAGAGAGATTCAGAAAATATTTCCACTAGAAAGGATTGAGAACAAACAAGAAAAAGCACACAGTTTATATTTTGCCTAGCACACATGCAAAGGAAAAACGTAAAGCAGCTAGAAGGCGAAGTCCTTGATTTTGCTACGCTGTACTTAAAAACGGTTGCGCAACTTCTTAGGATGTTGCCTTTCTTCTCCTCTTGTAACACAAGGCAATTCCATTGCTGACTCCTCCCATGAACACTTGCGGCTTCATGTGGTTCCCATGTGGTTCCTGTATGGCTCCCATAAGCCTCACATGAAATTCATGCGAGTTTACAGCTGTAAAACGGTTTTAACCGTTTGATGACGCGAGTAACCGAATTGTACCTGTGGCGAAATCATTCTTCAATGCGGCGTGACGTTCTTGAGAAATTTCGAGTTCGCCACGTCAGAAAAGACGGACTCGATATTCAGTTGTTCAACCGAAATCTCGAGTCAAATCCCGAGCACCCCTCGGGATCCCTCGGCACCCCTCGAAACACACGCGCACCCCTCAGGTGCGCAATCATGCACGACCGACTTTTCGGTCGTGCTGTACAATGCACGGACATGCGCTGTACATCCTGTTCTCAATTATTTCACACCCCTTAATCTCACACCCTGGGGTATTTACCCTAGATCAATCGTTTTCGTAGGGTAGTTACCAGCGTTTAGGAAAACCGCGGAGGAGGGTACGACGTACTTTCGGGTTTGGTCGGGGCGCACGAAGAATCTAAAAGAGAACCCAAACCGAACTAAACACTTCACCCCGAACATTAAGAGTGAGTTTCGTTCTAGAGCCTACCTGCCCGTTGTATCTTTATAGTCCCTCAATCTCTGGGTGTCCGTCGCATCAAGTCAAAGCCCGAAAGGGTACCTACGAAAAAAAAAGAGTAGGGGGTGTGCAATTATCGAGAACTAGGTGTACTGCGCGTGGGCAGGGCGATCATTCGCCCTGTCCTGTTGCGATCGTGGGCCCTGCCACGCGCGCAACAGTGCCAAGGCACAAGCTCCCTGAGGGGCCACACGCGAGATCAGGACCACACGCGCGGTCAAGATTTCGCGTGCTTGACCAGCGCGAAAGTCAACAGCACCCCCGTTGACCAGTCAAACTATCGACCTCAACAAAAACACCCCACGCTACACCACTCGCTCGAATGAGCCACGAATGAAACATTAGAAACAAATGGCACTTTCATGAGAAGCCCATTTCAGCCTCATTGGAGCTTCATGAAAGCTTTCATTAGAGCTTTCATGAGAGCTTCATTTGAGCGCGTCATGAGAGCCTCATTTGAGCGCATCATGTGAGCCTCATTTGAGCGCATCATGTGAGCCTCATTTGAGCGCTTCATGAGAACAGTCAAAACACAAATGAAAATGCACTAACACAAAATGCAAAAACAAATGCGCACAGAACAAACACAAAATGCGCACACATGAAATACACATCACAAAATTACCTTCCAACAAAAACACCCCGATTCCCTTTATCGTCGGCGAAAAGGCGGTAGGTTGACGTGCAAAATATATTTTTGCACCCAACAAATATGTGGGCCAAGGTACGGTAGGTGCGCTTTGCAGGGTTTCCTCAAGAGTATGTGCCTCGTCTCGCCGCGCTTGCCTCTACTGTGCATCCCTTGTTAGTCTACTTCGGTTTCTCCGACACCCTTATTCGTATATGAACCTCCTTTCCCATGCTTCTTATGATCCCAGATCTGCCTGGCAGCAGAGTATTGGTCATTCACGTTGGGGTTATGCAAGAAGGGTAGGAGCAAGCCTGTCCAGCCATCAATGCCATGCTCAGGTGCTTATCACTTCTACGGTGGAGCTTCTTCGACAGCAATCACACGGTTTTACGAGTACAATTATAGGTCTTGCTCTGGAACAGTAGGAACGCGGTATATTTGTGTGCCATCGACATTCTGAACTTATCTTTAACTGAATCATATGGTGCTTATGGTGCTTCTTTGAGGTTCCTTCAAAGCTTTGCCATGACATTATGTACGAAAATCTTGCATAAGGTCATGAAACATGTATAGAAGTGCTTGTGCAGTTAAATAGTGCAAAATGTGGAGTTCTCCTTTCCCAATAGCACATTGCTCGCTTTGATTTCATGTATATTGTATACAATATCTTAGATGAAGTAGCGGGGGTGGCTCATTACCAGGCCTCAGGATAGGATTTAAGGTTCTCTTTCTCATCAGGCCAACTTCCCCTTATAAGACACCCTAAACCGTCCCAAATACAAGAGAACCCAAGCAATTTTTCCCGTGTACGAGATAAGACATATATGTTTTATATCCGGGCGATGACGGTAATCGTCCTCCAGAATGTCCCCTTAACGCTTCGAATTCACCTCAGGGGTCTGGCATGCAGTGAAGTATGGTATTTAGGGATCATGTCAAAATGACGATGGCACGCAAATATACTTCGCTCCTACAGTTCCAGAGCAAGACCTGCCATTGTAGTCGTAAAACCGTGTGATTGCTGTTGAGGTAGGCCGACCGTAGAAGCGGTAAGCAGCTGGGCACGCCATTGACCGCTGGACAGGCTTGGCCCTACCCTTTTTGCAGAAACCCATCGTGAACGACCAATACTCTGCCCTGAGGCAAACCTGGGACCATGGCATGGATGGGATGGAGGGTCATGATTTAGTAAGGGTGTCAGAGACACCAAAGTGATCAACAGCAAATGCAAAAGAAAGGCAAGGGCGATAAGGCACATACCTTTCAGAAGCCCTGCAAAGCGCACCTACCTTTGTCCACCTATTCCTTCCTTCCCCCATCCCCAAGCCCGCTCCCCCCAGCCCTCAAAACCCTCACCTGTACACCAATGTTGCTGCCGACAGCCGAGGCAGAGGAAGGGATGGTGGCGGAGCAAGTGAGGCCGGGATTGTTGCGGTACAGCGCAGCCCATGGATTCTCACTGGCACTGGCGCCCCCTTGTGAATTGCTGGTCCTTTGAATTAGCCGGTCGCAAGTGTCTTGAGGTGTGAGCATGCCGTATCGGACACACTCAGGGACGGTGAAGGCGAAGGCAGCCCTGCGCTCGAGGCACACAGAGCGGCCCGCCTTGATGGGCTTGGAGCAGTCAAGGCCGGGGTTGAGCGCAACAAGACTTCCCTCATTCAGGCTGAGCGCTGGGGTGATGGATGCACAGGTGTCCCCCTGGAAGGTTGGAGAGAGGCAGGCAAAGTGACACTTGGTGCTTGCGATGTGCTGAGAAGGCCATTGTGCTGACCGTGCATGGTGCGGTGTGGGCAAGAAAGCAGCAGGTCTCACGTTGAGGGAGTAGAAGAAGGCAGTGCAGGGTGTGGGAGGAGTACCATCCAGCTGAAGGACACTGCCCTTGGGCAATGGCTGGCTGCAGTCAATGCCCTGCATTGGAAAACACGTGCATGAATCAGAGGTTCGAACCAAACTCCACACAGGCAAGGCTTCCGCTCCTCATTGAGTCCTGGAGAGGAGAGTATGTATGTATTTCACAATTGAGTACCCAATACCACATAGTATCTGTTCCTTAAGAACGAACCGGCAGTGCATAGATAACTCAGGGGTAGAGTGAAGCAACATTCAAAAAGATGAAGTGATGTGAAAGCAAGCTGATATGAAATGTGGAATCAAAACGCTGAATGAAGGCTTGTAGCTCCCACCACCTCTTACCACCCACCGCGTTTTGGTCAGTGAAGTCAGTCAATGAGAGGCCAACAAGCGGATGAATATCCGAGCACAACCAGTTGTCACCACTGACTGTCATTGTGGTGGCTGTGGTATTGGCTGCAGACAGCATGGGGAGTGAGACAGAGGCAAGGAAAGAGAGCGACGCATTGAAGTTTTGAAAGAAGTGGATTAAGATTAGAGAAATGGAAGTTGCAAGCTTCAGAGAGAAAGTGGTAGTTACCAGGAAAATTCACCAGCAAACGAGGCCAACGGACATATTCAAGCCACCTACCTGGATCGCAGGTGGGGAAGCCGTCAACGGTTGTGCTGGGAACGTGGTTGGGAGGGCAGATGCAGGAGTAGGAGCCCTTGCCATCGTTGATGCACGCTCCCACGTAGCAGGGGTTCTTGAAGTATGACCCACACACGTCCACTGCCACACGTGCACCGGGGTGGCGGATAGTAGCACATAGTTGAGAAAAACACAGTAATAAACAGAAAGTGAGGGGGAACCTGGTTAGAGAATAAGGGGGAAATGGTCTGCGCACTCCTAGCCAGATGCGTACCAAGCCTCAGGCCAGTGCAGCTGAGGGACCTCTAACACAGATCGGACATAGGCAGGAGTATGAAGAGCACAGGGGTCCTAGGGGACTCTGCATACATCTGAAAAGGCGGTAGGTTGACCCCTAGGACCTGCGAAAATGGCACGCACCTGCATACATCTGAAAACTTCTGCATGCTACAACAGCACGACATACGTCAGTGTAAGACCCAATTACATGGCCTCCTACTCACCCTTCGACATGCTACTGAACTTACCATAAGCACATGTGGAGCCAATTCCATTCGCAACTTCCACAAAAGGCTGCACAGTAGCGGTGGGAATATTGCAGGTGCAGTAGTTGCTGCTTGCTGTCGTCCCCTGGCACTGGAACCTGCCGCACGGGTTCATGCTGGGCTGCGAATCCCCATCGCCCTTGTAGCTGCTTTCTCCACAGGGGTCCCCTGGAACTGGAATGGAAGGCGTTAAGAGGAAGACATGAGGATGGAGTTTCGAGGAGGACTACAGAGTTCATGCCACATAATTGAGCACCACAATAGTTAAGCACCGCTCAGTAGTACATATGCGCTTACCAAGCTTGACACTATGATTGACCACTAGTGGAAGAATTTTCAGCTTCCAGCTTTCACCACTGGTGGACGCAGTGCAAATTTAAATGTTTTGTGATTTTCTGCGCATGCTACTGCATTTGTGTGTATCAACTCTAGTCCAAGCATCCCCATTCCTTCTCCTTGCATATTGCATGCATCTGCTTAGAAGGTCACATTTCCAATCCTAAATGTCGTCCTTTTTCCTGCATCTTCTCAGCAGCTAATGCCTTTCCCCTTGCATGTCTTTTTTTGCTGTCTATGGGAAGAAATACTCCTATTACTTTCCACTCAGTGACACTATTCCGTTCCTCCTCTTATTAACACCTGCATCTAATACAAAAACCTTTCCCCAAACATTTTTGGATAGTATATCAAGTTTGTATTCGACCGCATCAATGTTCCATGTTGAACTCGAGTGCGAATTGAACACTGATGATTTGAATCGAATATGAATATGCTCGCATTTCTTTGACAAACATACTCCTGATCATTCCTCAAACTGAATTACGCAATTTCCAGACTATTGCCACTGACATAATCTACAATGTACCAGGCTTATTGCATTGTGTTGTTTGACCAATTAGGCTGCAGTAAAGAGCATGCAAGGTAATAAGGAGAAGAAGCCATGGATGTGTCTCGAATACTCAAATATTTGGCGATCGATTACTTGAAAAAAATGAGTACTTGCCTGGACCACTTTAAGCCAAAAAAAGAAATATGTTCGGTTCGCCTCGAATGTTCGAGGCGAACCGAACAGGTGTTCGTTTTTTTGCTCATCCCTACAAAGGGCTAGCGGGTTAGAGTAGATATGGCCTGACAATGAGGTGGATAGGGCACGCCACAATGACAATGTAGATATGGCTCGCTCTTCACAGTGGGGTAGATGCCTCACTCTTCACAACGGGGTAAAGAGACTACACTGCTCATGTTACTTTACAGAGCATCACAGTAGCTAAGCGAAACTCAGCGCTGATGTACTTACCAGGCTACTAAACAGGCTTGGCTGCTTACTCTCTCATGCGATGATTGCCCACTAGTGGCAGAAATTCCAGCTTTTTAGTAGTGACCTCACCCTTGACATTTGGGAAGGTACCTCGATCTAACAATGGGGAAGATGCCTTACTCTTGACAATGGGGTAGATGCCAGGCAGCACGTTGATGCCACACACGCCATCCCCTCCCTGAATGTCCATGCGCATGTGGCCCCTTTGGCCCCACTCCTCTCCCCACGAGTTGCGAATGATCCAAAACGGAGGCGCAATGCGGTTCTGGCTGCCATCGTTTCTTGTAATGAAGTAGCCAATAACGAGCACAACATGGTTGAGACTGCCCGTGTAGCAACCAGGATCCTGGTATTTGAACGTCTGAAGTGAGGTGGGGGCAGAACGTTCCACAAAGTGGGAGTCAAAGAGCACAGATCAGACAGGTATGAAGCTGTAGATGGGGATGCAGGGTTTCAAAGTGATGGCATGCGTCTATCTGTGAAAGAACATGCCATCCAGGTGATGACCCTCAGCTGAAGGACCATATAAAAAGGTAGGCACGATGCTGAGTGAGAGTTGCAGCGACTCACCCCATCATAGAGCATGAAGGTTGGAGACGCCTCGATGTGAACCACCACTGGCTGCCGCTGCACTGCCAGCATGAGCCCCACATACCCCTTGAACTGTGCTCGCTCAAACGCCTGCACCGGGTATGTTGTTGCCTGCGACCACAAGATTGCAGCATTGTTGGGCAGGAGGGAAAAGGTGGGATCGGGTTGGGGTTGAGATTGGAATAGGCCTGGAGTTAGGAGTTCTGAAACTAGGGAAGGGTATATCCGTCCCCCCTCAAGGAGGGACCACCGAAAAGGAACAAGGCAAATGATGAATAGCACAAAAATTAATCTCACACCACAACATAACCATGGCTCAACAAATCAGCAACGGATCTCTGGGCCTCAGACAGAGGACAATTTTACAATGGGAAGATAATCGTACAATCAGAAACTCGCGTAGCTGGTTGGATGAGGTGGTTTCACTATACCATACCACGTTCGCATGCTGTTTGCCCTACCATACCACGTCCATTAGCTGGGTGGATGAGGTGATACATACCATACCATACCATACCATACCATAACCTACCATACCACGTCCTCATTCTGTTCCGCCTACCGGGTCACTATCCCCTGTGAGCCCACTGGAGGCATCGAGAGCTGTGAGCGTCTCAAAGGCGAGGGTGGGGGAGCCGCCAGCGGAGCACTTGTCGGAGTCGGAGAGCCCCATGAGGGTGAAGAGCGCCTCCACTGCCAGCCGGGGGGCGCTCTGCTGCTTGGCGATGCCGTATGCCGCCTCCACACTCGCCACCACTGCATACGCCCAGCACGCACCTGGGAAGTGGTAGAGCAGGAAAGGTGAAGAAAATAAGGGTGGAGTGATGAAGTTCGGCTGCACATTTGTTGGATCTGGGTTACAAAATTCGTTTTGAAGCTGGCTTGACTTGGTTAGGTGTAGATTCTATTCTTAACCTCTCTAGCCTGACCAATCCCAATTATTCACAACTTGCATAATATTTATTGGATTCCCCAATCATCATTTGATCCCTCTTGGTGTGTATTATTATGGCAGTGTGTATCCTTGCATGGATGGTCAATGGCACTTGCTGCCTCGTACAATGCTGCTTGGACATGGTACAAACGACAACAGTATTTGGCAATGAATAGAGTGTTAGATTACAATGCAATTAGCAGTACTCGAGAACTTTATTCTGCAGTTGATCACACTCACCGCAGAAAAGCAGCTCAGATGCTGAAATGGAAACTCCGGGTTCTTTTCACACTCACTGCAGTCGTTTTGATTCTTGACAGGCCAGTTGAGGAAGGGCACGGAGTCCCATGTGTGGAAGTCACGAATGCTCCACGAGTCCGCTTTGGTGGCCGACAGCTTGAAGTCCGCACTCACATAGCGCGAAAAGGGACTGGCTCGAGTCGGTGCGAATGTGGCCACTGACAGTGAGAGGCCGAGGGCTGTGAGGGGCGAAGAGGGTTGGACATGAAGGGAGATGTGGATGGGGGTAGCAGTTGAGTTGAAAGGCATGTCGTGGTCTGATATTAAAAGCACTTTGTTGGTGCCTCCAAGAAGTTTGACATGTAATAACTTGACTTGAGCTACAGCTAATTGACTAGAAATGGTGCTCACGGTTCCCTAAGTACATCAGTAATCGGCTAGTAGAAAGGATAGGTGAAAAAACTGAAGGCAATACCCAATGAGATCGGCATTTTTTTACGGCATAGAGCTCCCTCTTGACTAATAGCGAGACCCACAGTGGTAGCAAGCTGAGATTTTATGGCAGTAGTGCTGCACCTCAGTAACAACGGTCCATGATGGCGTGGTGGGAGAAATTCTAACAATTTTCGGAACCTGCCGGTAACTCATATCATTACTTAAGTTATTCTGCGGGTTCTTTGCTACTAACTTCCCCAGCTTCTAGTTGCCACATGATAGGGAGCTCACCTTTCTCATTGACCTGGACTGCCTTGGGTGAAGGAGCAACTGTCGAGATAGACAGAAGAAAGAGAAGCACAAAAGCCATAGAGTGCTGGTTGGGTGTTGGACAAGGAGAGCATACCATAGGTTAGGAGTGGCAAGATGATGCAAAAAAGCTACCACCGTCATCATCTCCAGAATGGCCTAGCTATGACAGGTGCCACCATCATCATCAGTACCTGGAAAAAAATCTCAAATGAACACCCCATTCTACTGTATTGTTCATTAGGCATGAGCGACGATCGAGAGATCAAACCGGCCGGGTGATCAAACCGAATTGGTTCGGGAAAAACCAGCTGATTTCAAGTTCAGTTTGACAAGTCATTCACTCACTACAGTGCTTACACGGCCGAATTTCTCAGCCTAAGAGGAATTTAGGATTCCAAAACAATATAACCGTGCGATTGAGATGGATTATCGAAGATTGCTAGGAATGAAGTGAGAAGAAGGTTGAAACTCTAACGTCCGTTTTTGGGACTAGTAGAAGACATCATGTGAGTACCAATCATAAACAACCGCGTCCACCACCACCACCCATTAAGACAGTCAGCATCATCCCACCTGCCTCAAAATAACCTTGCCTGTTTGCACAGAGGAGAAGAGAATGCCATGCAGCTGGAAGGGCTTCACAGTGGTGGACGCCACAAAGCCAAACGAGAACGCTGGCTGCTTCACTCCAGGCTGCAGCACCGCACACAGCGACACCCTCCCCTGCAGCAGCGGCTCCTCTGGCTTCACGTTTGAGCTCGCCAAGAACACTTCAATGGTGCCGGGATCCCCAGGCTCGTACTCCACCCATGCCGTGTACGAATTGCCATCGGAGAAAGTGAACGGTGATACCTCCTTGACCAGGGGTTCCTCTGCACCGTTGATGCTCAGCCCCACGTGCTGCTCGCCTGTATCATCATCCTGAAGCGTGTCAAATACCACGGCCATGCTCCTGGGTCCCACTCCACTGTACCCCGCACCACCAGGTTTCCCCGCCTTGGGCTTTGCTGCGATGACAAATGCGAAGCCGCCGGACCTAGCAGTGCCAGACTGGGCCATGAGAGCGAAGGTGAAGTTGACTCGGAATGCCAACCCCAAGCCACATCCTAAGGTGGATACATTAGGTGGGTACATAAACAGAGTCACTGGCTTTGCCATGAACTTCCCCACCGTCTCCTGCTGTGTGCCCTTGGTGAGCACTGTGAATGGCGGGAGAATGTTTCCTTGGAAGCCTGAAGAGTTGCGACGAAAGGGCAGCAGTGCACGGGGAAGGGTGAGAGTGGTGGAGAAATGGAATGCCTGTGCTAAGCTGTGCAGACCAATTCATGTGGTCAACGCTATGAGGGTGGGATCTACTGATATGGTGTCTGTGCCTGCCTAAGGAAAGGAGTTTTCGTGTGTGTGGTAGCTGAAATCCAACAAGCTCAACAACTGCGAATAACCTGGGGAAGACCTGGGAAAGTGCAGCAAAGCATGGGGAACCCAATGTGTGTAAACCAGAAAGCAGAGAAAGTGTCTGTTAAGTGCATAATTCAAGGAGCACACAGAACGTGACGTGCATAAAGCCAGTGCATTGACAGTTTGAAAGCATGCAACAATTTCTAATCACCTCCTGAAATACAGGTGATTCCTCCAAGCTGCAAGGATCCCGCATCACACAGGCACGTTGGCACCAGACTAGGCCCATCTGGGTAGCACACGCCCCGACCACCACAGGCAGAAGTAGTCGGAGAGATGCCACAGAATGCCGTGCACTGTGCTGCTGGCCGTTGCAGGGCAGGGCGGCAGGCTTTGGTTGGTGAGAAGCAGTTGGCGGCGATGTTGAGTCGCCGGCAGTCTGATGCTGACACAACACCCGACAGGTAATTGTCAGCCAGATCCACTTGGGAGAATGGAAAGTTCACAAGGGGGCCTGTGAGGTAGTTGCGGCATAGACCACTGCAAGGGAGAGGCAGGAAAATTAAGATAGAAGAAGAGGATCAGAAGGACGAGGGGTCAATGGGGAGCACAATGAACACAGGTCCAGACTAGCACCCACAAATCACTCCTACCTTGCAATCCACAATCACACAACTTAAGTTGCATCGTGCAACTTGCATGCGCACTACTAGTACCAAGATTATAAGATACTGCGAAGGAGAGGGTGGAGGTCAGTGGAGCTGATGGAGAGGGGAGAGGAAGCTGGAGTACAGTCAATCAAAGGCTTACAGATAGCTCATTTTTGGAAGGTTGCCGATTGTAGCAGGAATTGTGCCACTGAGCCGGTTTTCAGAAAGTGACCTGCCATGATGAGCACGAGAGGGCATGCAGTAGATACAGGAAGCTCAAGTTTGCACAGATTCCGCGTCAATTTCTTACAGACTGCATCCAACCTATGTAGCTTACACGCATCGCGTAGATACAAAGAGGGAGAAAAGCAATATGGGAGGGAAAATCGTGGAGGAGATGGGCAGAATAAGAACACGGCCAGGCAAAGGGGCTTACAGGTCACGCAGTGGAAGCTCAACCTTGCATGGAAACGAGCAAGCAACTCTATTGGAAGGCAAAAACTTAAATAATGCAACAGAGGAATGAAACGCAGCACTGCAATGACTGTGGGATGCGTGCTGACACTGGCAGAGAGTAGATGAGGGTAGGAGAAGTGCTCTTTAGGAACTGGTTTGCCTCAAACCAATCAGGGGCATTTTATTATCCATCCATGTCGGGCATTTTTATCTTTAGGAACAGTGGGTCGTGCGACTCAGACTCCGTGGAACAGCAGGCAGGTCTCATTAACAGAAATTTAGAGCTCGCCTTCCACAATTCCCGAAACAACGCTCTATTTACGTGTGTGTCGTACTGATTTTGGGGCATTAGGCGGCGTAGGCTTGCTAAGATACAGAGGTTCAGACAAGACAACCACGAGCTACAAACCTTCAGCTACATCACTGGGACTCGAACCCATCCAGGTTACATATTTTAAGGCTTGAACATCGAACCATGAGCTGTTTAGGCCGGCTCGATCCGGAACAAAATGGTTTGGCTGATTCGAGTACACCCGCTAGTTCGCCCAGGTTCGAACCGGACCAGTTTGGGTTCGGTACTTGCTCATGCATACTTACAGCGATTCTAGGTTTGTAAGCATGCCGATTGTAGCGGGGATTGAGCCAGTGAGCCGATTGCTATCAATATTTCTGCGACGATGAACACGAATGGGCATGCATGTGGTTGACACAGGGAGCTGAAGATTGCCTGGAAACGAGCAGCGGATAGCAGCAAGCAATATACTGGGAGGCGAGATCCCTGAAAATGCAACAGAGGCATGAAAGGCTGCGTGATTGAAACTGTTCGTGAGGTGTGTGCCGAAAATGGCAGGGGATAGAAGGAGTCAAGAGAAGTGAGGAGAGACGTGTGCTTTGCTGGCCCCAAGGCACGTCACAAATTGCACAAGGAACTGAGCATAGGAGAGGGAAGAGGAGAGGCGAAGTCACGATAATGACTAAGGAAATGAAGGAGTAGAGAGAAAATTATACGTCAAGTTCTTACATAGATACATGATACAGGATACAGTGAAGGAGTGGAGAGAAAATTCTAACTCAAATCGTGAACACAAAGCTCAAGTTTGCATGTATTCTACCTCAAGTTCTTACAGAATGTACCCAAGCTATGTGGCTTAAACACATCACATGGAGGGAAAATCGTGGAGGAGACGGGCAGAAGGGAAACACAGCCAAGCAACGGGGCTTACAGGTATTTTAGCTTTACAAGATTGCCTATTGCAGTGGGAATCGCACCAGTGAGTTGATTGCTAGAAAGACCTCTGCCACGATGAGCATGAATGGGTATGCAGAGTAGATACAGGAAGCTCAAGCTTGCATGGAAACGAGCTGGAGACAGGAGGAAGATACTCCGTTGGAGGCAAGATTTATGGAAATGCAAGAGGCATGATGCGCGGCACAACATTGACTGTGGAATGCAAACTGACATAGGCAAAGAGTAGATGGTGGTAGGGGAAGTGAGGAGAGACATGCTGCTTGGGAACTGGTTTGCCTCAGACCAATTAGGGGCATTTTTCTTATCAATCCATTTCAGGTCGAACATGTTCCCCCAAATATATGTGGTCGTGCGAATCAAACCCCGCGGAACAGCAGGTCCCACTACATAGCAACGCAACCGTGGAGCTCACTTTCCTTTCCACGTTCCGAGTAACAATGATCTAGTTACATCTGTGTTGTACAGATTTTGGAGCATTAGGTACACAGTTGCTTACATACTCCAGTTCCTAAACCGGTTCAGCACGAGCTGCACCGGTGCGATTCAAACCTACGTTGGCAGATACGCTTTTCGAAGGCTGGCGTACCACGTATATGCGCTAGCGTACATACGTGGTACGCAAATACGCTCCTGATTCGTGAAAATACGCCCGGGCATCCCGCGGGAAAAAAAAAAAAAAAAAAAATCGAAATCGAAAAAAACCGCGAGGACTTTGCGACTTCGCAATTTGCTACCGCGAACTCGCTCAAGCGCCTTACCCACATCTGAACTTCGAATCTCAAAATCCAAACTTTCCTACCCCCTCAACCACACACCACCCCACCCAACCTCTCAAACCCAACCCCCCCTTTCAAATGTTCATCACTTCGTGAGCATTTTTAGGTCAACGACTTCCATGATGCTCTTCAATTTACTTCCCGCAAGTCTCGTCTAGCATTCTTCCCCGTTAGTTAGACGTTCTGTAGCTTAGTTGACATTTTACGTTTACGGGGGTTTTCGTTTACGTGACTTTACGTAGTAAACTTACGTTTGCTTACGTGGGCCCAAAACAGCTTTACGTTTACGGTCAGCCAGAAATATTTCTGACTGCCCGGAAAGATAAGAATTAATCGGACTAAGTGGCTGCATGGGAAGCGCCTAATCAATCCCTAGCTTGGTTCTTCTATGCCGAAGCGTGTTAGACATTATTACTATCAACTTACAGATGCCCCAAATCTACACCGACATGTCACAACCTCTCCCACCTCATATCAGTCAGATTTTTCCATTTTGCAGACGGAAAAAAAAAAAACTTTTTTGCCCTGCCCGTGCAACTTTACGTAATATTACGCGTAAGAAAACGTAAAGGTAAACTCAACGTAAGTTTACACTTTACGTGACCCAAAAAAACGTAAAGTACCAACTAAGTTCTGTAGTCACGCGCCCAGCGTATTTTAGCATATCAGCAGTACGCCCTGCCCGGGAAAAGGTTTTACCTGCCCGCCCAGCGTATTTTTGCTTATCAGCAGCACGCCAGCCATGGAGTACCGCGTATATACCCAGCGTATAATACGCTAGCGTATTATACGTGATATGCGTTTTTGCCAACGTAGATTCAAACCCATTGAGGTTCGGATGTGAGCGCTTGAACATCGAACCATAAGCTGTTAGGCTGGTTCAATCCGGAACAAAGTGCTTCGGTTCGTTCAACTACGCCCGCCAATTTGACCAGGTTCGACGGAAACGGTTTGGGGTCGGTACTTGCACCTGCTTACTTACAGGCCTTCTAGATTTGTAAGAATGCTGATTGTAGCGGGGATTGAGCCAGTGAGCTGATTGTTATTAAGATGTCTGCAATAAACACGAGGTGTGAAAAAAAGAATCATTGCAATGTCTGGAAGCCAAGGGGCTCTATAGTATAAAAAAGAAGCAATAGGCGAACATGTAAGTGCTCCATGTGATTCCAGCGTGACAGGTTGATTAAGTGAGTTATCTTCCTCATCTCTTTGTAACGAGTAAAAGCGAGTATTTTTTACTCGACTCGCCTCCGCCGAGTGAAAACTGCCTTTCGCCCAAGAAACGGCAATAGAACGAAAGTTGAATCTGTTGATGGACGTGCGCGTGCACGTACATTCGAACGTGGTCACTTCTGGCCACGTTCGACGGGTCGGCAAAAAATGCGACATAAACGAACATCAATAGTACTCATTCTGGAAAACAATGTCAGGGCCATGTATATTACACCACCGGAAACCATCTAGGTCTAGTTGTGGCTCGAGAAGGGTCGAACTACAATATTCGACCCTCAATGAAGCATTCTGATAGACTGAAAATGGCACCTGTGGTTGGAACCTCGTTAAAACACATAGTCGACTGCATAGCCAGGGAAAAAAAAAAAAAAAAAAAAAAAAAAAAACCCAGGTCGAAAATTGATTCAACAAAGCAAAACTTTGGCATTTGCACCAAATGCAACACGACCCTAAAAATGGCTAGTCTCCCCCAAGCGGTATACTACCCCAACCGCACACGTTTGTGTTCGAGTGGAAAAGGCGCCTGTTCGAACAGAATACATAGTTGTTCGCCTCTTGGGACGAACAGGCGAAGACCGCACCTTGAAAAAATGTTCGACTCGAACCGTTCGAGGAGTTCGAAATTGTTCGGGGTGAACAATGTTCACGTCTGTTGCTCATGTCTAGAAGACACTCCTCGATCTTCTTCAAACGTGTTGACTGACATAGACTACGCGGAAGCGACTAAAAACTTGATCACTAAGACTAGGTCTGGCCGTACCGTACGTACTACACTTGACACCCTTCGAGTGTGACAGCCTGTAACCTTCTAGCCAAGGGCATGAAAATATTATTTAGAGGGCAAGCAAAGCTAGACTCGGATTGTAGTGTGAGAAACTGGGCGGTGTTCTGTTGCCGCACCACTTGATGCGGGGGCGGACAGGACAGCACCGCATCACATGGTCCGGCATCAGGCTTCCGCGAATCATCATACCCCCATGTTGGTGCAACACAGTCTCCTGCCACCCTCCGCGCAATTGCAGAGGTTTCGTAAAATTTTTGCCGGGTTGGAAAAAAAACCCCAGTCAACCAGACTTTTCCCATTGTCGAGCCCCACCAAAACACAACCACCAGGCGTTTGGGATGAGGGGAGGGTAGTTTCTCTTTTATACACCGTGACTTTCGGGCAATTCCTCTCTCTACAGGGCAAGGCTTGGGAAATTTCATCTACCCGGAACCATTTGGTGCGGTCCCTGGATCCCCCCTCTGACTCTGAAACTGGGCCGCACCACCCCCGCACCCATTTTGCCTGGGTGAGGGAGATTGGGAGTTCTTCACTGATTCATTGTTCTTTTGGGCAAAGGAGGGCGGACAGGACTGCAAAGCACTCGTTAGGTCCGGGAAGGGGTTCAGTTTCCCGAGCCTAATATCTGGGAATACGCCCTCGAAAACGAAGCTTGTAGGAATACCGGTAGAATGTCGGAAGAAGCATCAATTTGGTGCTGTCCGAGGGGGGGCGCACCAAGTGGTGCGGCAACAGAACAGAGCCCTGCTCGAGCAGCGTTTCAGCAAGAACTCGTATCGTTTCGGCAATGCCACACGGCACGTCGTTTCTCGGTCATGCTATACAGTGCGATCGCGACAGCGATCATGCGCTGTACAGCGCGGGACAGGGAAATGGTGTGCCTTGCCTCGTTGCGATCGTGCGTGCTGTGCGAGATAGCAACAACCGCAACACACGCGCATGTCCTGTAGGGCCACACGCACGTGTCAGAACCCCGCGAGTGGGTCCTGAATTTCGCGAAAGTCAACAGCACCCCAGTCAAACTATCGAGCCCCCCCCGTTAGACCACCCGCTCGCCATTGATTCTCAATGAGCCTCGCATGAACATTTGAGGCTCATAAGACATTCATTCACGAGGGCTTCAATCGAGCTTCATGAGAGCTTCATTTGAGCTCCATGAGGGCTATGAAAACACAACAGAAAATGCACTAACACAAAATGTGATAACGACTACAAAACAAAATGCAAGGACGAATGCGCACAGAACACACACAAAATGAAATGCGCACATACGAAATGAAAAATGAGATGCAAGCAGCTGGTTGACTTCAAAATAATCTTTCCACCCAACAAAGGTCAAAGCATCTGCTATGGTCGCCAATTTTTATGGATGTGGAATTGCTTAACAACACCCCTGCTCCTAATGCGCCATGCATGGCATACTAGCGTCATTGAGAGCCGCACTTGCAACCTTGCAAATGCGGTTGCCATCTCTCTCATGCCTCCACGCCCCCTTCCACATGGAGCTATGCTCTTCTCCATGCCGCTACTTTGACAAGGCTCGACAAGAACCGGTTTTGGTTCGGTACTTCCTCATGCATACTTACAGGCCTTTTAGGTTTATAAGCATGCCAATTGCAGTAGGGATTGAGTCAGTCAGCTGATTGTGATCAATATATCTGCGACAATGAAAACAAATGGGCATATATGAGGTAGATATAGGGTGTTGAAGATTGGATGGAAACAAGCAGCGATAGGAGAAAGAAAGCAACACCAGTGGGAGAAAATTTTCTGAAAATGTACGGAGGCATAAAAGGCTGCATGATGGAGATTTGCGTGAAATGTGTGCGGACAATGGCAGGCAGGGAACAGAAGAGACAGAACTTGGTTGGAAGAGATATTCTATTGAACGTGTGTATTGTATTTAATTGCACCAGAAATTTGTACGTTGCAGATTTAGTGTAGATTCGCCGAAATATGCTTGGGCTGACAAAAAATAAATAGATAAATAAATAAAAAAACTGAATGTTGAGAGTGAGAGTTTGCAAAGTCGCAGACCCAAACTCAAGTCTCCCGTGTCGCAAAATCAACCTCTAGTTTCAAATTTTGAAATAAACGTTGCATTTTTCTCACCTTGTTCACAGCCCCTCCACCTCCACCCAGTTCCAGCCCCCTCCACCTTAACCAGATTCGACCGAAACCGGTTCAGGTTTGGTACTTGGTCATGCCTACTTACAGGTAATTCAGGTTTGTAAGGTTTCCCATTTCAGCGGGAATTGAGCCAGTGAGCTGATTGTACTGAAGATATCTGTGACGATGAACATGAATGGGCACGCATGTGGTAGACAAAGGGATGGGCAGAAACGTGCATGCGATAGATACAGGAAGCTGAAGAGTGGATGAAAGTGGGCAGAGGACAGGAGCAGGCAACTCCATTAGGATGGGAGGCAAAGTCCCTGAAAACACAAAAAAGGTATGAAAGGCCATGGACTTTGTCCGTGGGATGTCTGCTAACAATGGAAGGGGATAGATGGGGAGAGAAAGGTGAGGTGAGTGAGGGGGGGAGAAGTGTTCTTTGCCTGCCCCAATGCACCTTATTTTGCACAAGGAAGTGAGCATAGCAGAGGGAAGAGAAGAGGCGAAGGCAAGATAGCTAACGACAAAAGGAAACGAAAGGAGTGGCAAGAAGACTATAGATATTGAGTAGACATGTTGTGCCAAAAGGGTAGGCAGAGCAAGGGCCAGGCCAAAACCAGCCCGTGGCCAGCCCGATCCAGCCCAGGCCGCCCCTCTTTTTGGGCCGACCTGGCAGAAATTCCGGCCCTCGGCCATGCAACCATATGCGAGCCACGGTCGGGCTGGGCCAGACCAGGACATGCCTGGGTTGGGAGGGTCGCGCGAACAGATAAACGAACCAACGAACGAACGAACGGAGGGGTTCGCAGGCTTTTAAAGCTTTTATTTTAATGACCATATTGCTGCAGTTCGTTGCAATCTTTTCTTTGCAAATAGATTATGTTTGGTTCGACCTAGGGCCAGTTAAATCAAACCGAACAGAATTTCGGTTCGATGCTCATGTCTTTACCGACTTCACCAAGTCTGATCAACTGAAAGCTGAAAACGCTGATTAGGGTTAAAAAATGTCAGCGAATCTCACCAGTTGGATATTTCAGCCCACATGAGCTCATCTGGAGATTGCAAGACACGAAGTGGAAGAGAAGCATCAAGTGGATGGGAAATCGTGGAGGAGAAAAGAAAAAGGGGGAACACAGGCAAGCAAAGGGGCTTACAGGAAATTCAAGTTCAGAAGGTTGCCTATTTCAGAGGGAATTGTGCCAGTGAGTTGATTGCTAGAAAGACCTCTGCCACGATGAGCATGCATGGGCATGCGGTAGATACAGGAAGCTCAAGTTAACTTGAAACTTGCAACAGGTCCAAGCAAGCAACTCCATTGGAGGGAGAAGCTCCTGAAAAGTGCAACAAGGCAGCGCGGTGGACATGTGTGCTGGTAATGGCAGAGGATAGATGGGGCAGGAAAATTGATAAAAGACGTGTTTTGCTTCTGCTCCAAGGTATGTCACCCACATATAGAATGGCCACGGGGAAGAGAGCATGGGAGAGGGCAGGAGAGCCACGAAAACTCGATAGGAACAAATGGAAAGGGAAGGACAAAGGAGGAATGGAAGGTTGTGCAGAAAGGGGTGCAAAGAAAAATGCAAACGATTAGAGGTGAAAGGACTGGAAAGGGAAGAAGTTTGGATTATGAATGGAAGAACCGCATTGAGTGTATATATGAAAAAACATAGAGAGGAAGGACAAGAGCAATCAGGAGAGACAAGCAAGAAGCAGGGAGGAAATGGAGCAAAAAGGCCTTGCACTCAAGAAAAGTTTGAAAAAAGTGCCTTTCCAAATGCCCGGAATCTGAGCCCAGCAAGCACTTGAACCCTTAGCTCTAGACAGCAGCAGTGTGGCCTCAGGACGCGTCACAATTGAAAAACCGGAGGAGGATCAGGATCACACACCGAAGCTGTAAACATCGATCTCCTTCGAGCCACATGTGCCGCGCTCGCCCTCAGGCTCCTTTATTTACGGGGTTTTAAACGCTTTGGAAAGCTTTGAATGCTATACGCTTGATTTGAGTGCGGTGACAGATTGATTTGGAAGCTACATTGCGCTCGGTGACGTGACCCGAGTCTCAGTGAAAGTCAGCGAAACAGGGATATTTTACACAGCGAATTACTGTACAGCCCAAACATCGATCCCCTACAGAATCGATGTTTCAATTGTGACGCGACCTCACTCACCCTTACCTACCGGCACAGATGTGTTAGCTAGAGTCAGTGTCAGACTCAGTTTGCTGTTTGTGCATGTCTGCAGACAGACACTGTAGTGTGTGGTCATTTCACACACTCAACTCACTCAAACAATGCAATGCACAATCACATAAGTCCAGTCACACACGCACTACTAATACCAAGACACAGAATACTGCAAAAGAGAGGATGGTGGTCAGCTGAGGTGCTGCAAGAGGATAAGAGGCAAGAGGGGTGGAGAGCATGGGTCAGATTTGGCATAAAAAGGAGGAGAAATTAAGGAGAGCAGAGGAGAAGAATCAGGAGTACGACCAAGCAAAGGCCTTGCTGGGTACTTACAGATACTCCAGTTTGGAAAGGCTGCCGATTTCAGCAGGAATTGTGCCACTGAGCTGATTGACGAAAACTATCCTGCAACGATGAGCATGAAGGGGTATCCGGTAGATGTAGGCAGACACAGGAGGCTCAATTTTGCATGGAAACGAGCTGTGTGTGGATAGGAGGAAGCACCTCTATTGGGAGGCAAAATCCCTATGCAACAGAGGCATGGCTTGAGACTGGACATTATCTGTGGGATGGGATGTGGCAGATAATGGCAGGGGATAGATGGAGCCAGGAAAAGTGAGGAGAGACGTGTTATAGGGGCAAGAGCATGGGGAGGAAAGAGCATCGGAGAGGGGAGGGGAGAGGCAGAAACAAAATGGGAAAAGGGAAAGGGAACGAATGAGGTGGAAAAGAGGGATGATGTTGTGATGAAGTGTAAACAGAGGAAGGGAGGGGCACGAGAAAAGTGCTAAAGTTTTGAAGTCAAAGCACTAGAATGGGCGGGAGGTTAGATTAGGTATGGTGGAGCAACACAAAGGGATCCATGTAAAAACATTGAGAGAGGAGGGTGAATGAACAAGAGCATCAAGGGGGACGAGCAAGAAACGAGGAACAAGTGGAGCAGAGAGGCGAGGCCGGGTACTCGAAAAAGGTTTGTAAGACTGCCTTGGCAACTGTCCGGATTCACGCATTAGGTTATGAGCTCAAGGCTTGCAAAAACATCAGAAATGGGAAGGAACGAACGGGTCCGGAATTAAGGGGCGATCTGCAAGGAGGTCGACTGAAATCTCCTATTGATGGGATGGGGATTCTAGGACCTGGAGTCAAGGTGATCACATTTGGGTAAGGTTGAGTTGTTGTAACACTCAACCCACAAAGAACTACAGTAAAACTGAACCAGCTTTTTTTTTTTTTTTTGTAAGTACAAACGCAAAAGTTTGAAACAGCGAAGAGAAAATGAAGTATATATATCTGGGTTGGGGCAGCCTGGATAAGGAAAAGTTTGGCAAAAGGGTAAGAATTGAGAGCAGAGGTAAGAGGTGAGGAGGAGAGAAACATGGCATTAACAACCAGCACAAAAGTGAGTCATGTCAGACTCAGTTTGCTGTTTTTGCATGTCTGCAGACAGACACTGCAGTATGCGTTGCCTACCTACCTACCTACCTCGCATCAATTTCCTGGTGTGTGCACCTACCTTGCCAAAACGCCCACATTGCTTCTACGCCTCTTCTAGCTCAACACCGTAAACGCATTGTGCATACGAAAAGAGGAAGAGAGGGAAGAAACAAGAGTGCAAGGTTTTGAGGTAGAAGGACTCGAAAGAATGAGAGTAATGTTGTTTAGGCTCATCAGACCATAACCTGTTTAGGCTGGTTCGACCCGAACCAAAGTGGCTCGGTTCGACTAGCCCGTCGGTTCGACCCAGTTTGACCTGAGCCGGTTGTTCAGGGCTCCATACTTGCTCATGCCAACTTACAGGTATTTCAAGTTTGTAAGAATGCCGATTTCAGTGGGGATTGAGCCAGTGAGCTGATTGCCCTGAAGATATCTGCAACGATGAACACGAATGGGCACGCATGAGGTAGACACAGAGAGTGAAAATTGCGTGGAAATGAGCATGCACCTTTACTGGGAGGTGAAATCCCAGAAACCGCGTGAAGGGTCACGCCATGACTTTGTCTGTGAGATGCATGCTGTGCTGACAATAGCAGAGAATAGAAAGGGACAGAAGAAGTGAGGAGAGACGTGACGTTTGCTTGCCACCAGGCACATCAGATCAAAACTTGCACAGGCAAAATGAACATTTGAGAGGGAAGAGGAGAGGCGAAGATAAGATAGAGACAAAAGGGAAGGGGTGGAGAGACAATGATAAACAGGTAGAAAGGCTGTGCAGAAAGAGTGGGCGTGAGTGAGCTAATGGTCAGGTCGACTTCCCAAGATGTGGACGAGGCCTCTTCATTAATCATTCGGTTCGGGTCGAACCAGCTCCACCACTTCGACTCTGGTTCTACGGGACAGCAGGTCCCATCATATGGCAACAAAAAGCAAGCTGGAGCTCACTTTCCACGCTTCCAGCAACAATGCACTAGCCACGTGTGCTTTCATGCTGAGTTTTCTCTGAACCGTGCTTCAGGCTTGGCCGAAGTGCGCTAGACCTACTAATCCAGGCTAGAACTAGATTCAAAACTGATTCAGACTTGAAAAACAAACCGTAAGCTGTTCCGGGTGGTTCAACCCGAACCACACTGGTTTGGTTCGTTTGATTATGCCCGCGACTTCGACCAGGTTTGACGCGATCCATTTCAGGTTCGATCATTGCTCAGGCCTACTTACAGTTGCTGCAGGTTCGTAAGGATGCCGATTGTAGTGGGGATAGAACCAATGAGCAGGTTGTTATGAAGATATCTGTGACAATGAACACGAATGGACATGAATCAGGAATAACATCAAAAAGAGGAGAAATGGTGGAGAGGAGGGGGGAAGAAACGAGAGCAAAGTCAAGCAAAGACCATGCGGGGTGGCTTACATGTATCCCACGTTCACAAGGTTGCTAAATCCAGAAAGCATTGAGCCAGCCAGGTATCCTAGTGCAACTTTTATCCTCGCTTTCCTACCTGCACTGCCTCCGTAACTATCTGCACATCCTCAGGAAAGCAACGTAAGAAAGTTCCTCTGTGGGTTCCTTCCTCACAGCAATTCCAGGCAGCCTTTCCAGCAATATTCCTCCCTCTTCCTCTTGTCTTATTCCCAATGTCCGCTTTCCACAGCTATCAGCGCGTTCCCTCCGTGCCCTTAGAGCCACGGCCGCCACCCTCCTACCGACCAGCGTGCCTCTTGGCGCCTACTCCACGCTCTCCGGGCCACTCTGCACTCGTTACATCCACTACCTCCACACTCTCAGCTACGACTTGTGCGCCCACTGCTAAGCCCTGTGCGCCCTGACTAAGACCTATACCCAACAACTAAGCCGTGTGCGCCCTCGTACACGGCCCTACCCTCTGCCTTTTGCTCTCCCAACCCAACCCACCCAACGCCCTTCCCCTCCTCCTCCCTCTCTTCACGCATCTGCTGCAGCCGATTTCTGGTTGCTGCTTCCTCTGGAACTGTCCGTCTCATTGAAATGTGATGTGATCAACGTAAGACAAGAATTATCTAAACTAACATGCTCTCCAAACCTCCATATGCCCAACCCAGTGCATTTGGGCCTTTGAGAGCGTACAGAAGAGAGAGCTCGCGGAGGCTGCTGATGGAATCTGGAATAGACCCGCTTAGATTGAGCTCAGGTAAATGCCTGCACGTAAGAGCAACCACACCACATGTACCCACGCATGCAACCGCATAACTTCATAGAGAATAAACGAGTGGTGCGGCCTACGGGGTAGCCCTAGCACCAACTGGTGGTCACTGCATGGGCACACTGAGGAGACAACCCCCCTGCAGAGAGAGTGCAGATTGAATCTCACATCACCAAGACCATGCCGTTGCTGTCGCATGTGATGCCCTGTGCACTGCTGCAGTCCGGATTGGGGTCCCCCCAACCAGGCAGCGTCTGGCCCCATGCCGTCTGGCAGTCCTGCAGGAATTGCACTGCGGGTTGGTGGTGGAGAGGTGAGGTGAGGGAGGCGATGGGAAGAGGGGAGGAGAAGGGGAGGAGGGTGGGTGTCAGAGGGCGGCAGAGGTAGGAGGATGAGGAGTAGGAAGGAAACGGGGAGTTGGTGGTGTGTGTGTGTCTGGGTGGGGGGAGTGGCGTGAGGAGCGCAGCGCACGCAGCAAGAAATGGCACATGGCACATCGAAACGCCATCTCGCAATTGTGGATTCGGAACACAAGAGGGTTACCAACAGGTGTCAGTCAGGCAGGGCAGGATACCCAATGTTCCTCCCAAAGTATCCCAGCAGAAACATAAGTAGACATGAGCAAAAACTCGAACCCCTGTTCGGTTCGACTCGAACGTGATCGTTTGATTTATTTTAAAAAAAAAAAAAAAAAAATAGTTCGTGTCGAACGTTCGACTGTTCGAGTGTTCGTGTGCGGAAAAATGCACAAACATCAAGGTGTTCGCGAACACAATGTGTTCGTCCAAACACCTCGGTGTTCGAGGGAAAATTCAGCGCGTCAAAGTTTGACGCGCTGGTTGGATCTAAAAGGAGAGGGCGACGATTGAGCTCAGACGTCGATATAGCCTAAGGATGGCATTCCGCCCCCTACCCACTTAAACTACCACATTCCCACGGTTCAGATTCCACAGTGTAACTGGAAACATTAGGTATAAGGTTGGATTAGGGTAGGAGACGGTTAACAAAAGGAACTAAGGGCATTTTGGTTTAGTTTGGAGTTTAGAAAGGCAAAATTGGATATCCACCAGCGCCAAGCCTAACTATATCTCTTGTAGGGCTATAGGGAACGTGATATTGCTTCTGCCCTGCCTGAATGTGACTATACTGAAAATCCCCCGAAGACAAACTGTTCGAGTTCGGGTCAAACACCTTAGTGCTCGGTCTTGCCTCAAAACTGTTCGACCCTATACTCGAACGGGGAACACTAACATTCAAGAAAACTGTTCGAGTCAAACGTGTTCGGTTCGGTTCGAATTGACCAAGTGTTCGCAAACTGTTCGAGACAAACGTGTTCGGTTCGCTCGTTTCTCATGTCTAAACATAAGGGCGCGCGAAAACGTTACCCAATCACAAACATTCGCAACCAGATGTCACAAAACGCCACAGAAAATCATGAACTGCTTCCCGTTTCTGTTTCCGACTAGACGGCTCGTCCCGAACCGAAATACTATCACAACCAAACGCAGGTGCTCAGATCGTGTGTGCATATTACCTCCCAAGTTAGAATGAAACACCATCTGGATTGTGTCGATAATAGTATTTTCAGAAAGTTTAGGGTTGGAGGGGGTAACTCCTGGGGTACGCGAGTGATGGCTTTAGACACTTCTGACCATGATACGCCGCTACCGGCAAGATCTCCTGGACCATGACACTTCAAAACAATATGGTATGCCAGCCGTATGACGCCTGCCTGCCTTGTTCCTGGAGATCCTTTTGAGTCGACTCAAAAATGAGCTGACTTTTGAGTCGACTAAAAAATACGCCGCTACCGGCAAGATTTCCTGGACCATGACACTTCAAAACAATATGGTATGCCAGCCGTATGACGCCTGCCTGCCTTGTTCCTGGAGATCCAACGGAATTGCCAGGGCGTGTTTCGGAAATCATAGAAAAGGGATCTTCGAAACGTTGGCAGCGGCAATCATTGGGATAGCTGTTGGTTCAAGTCGTTGGGCGTGCTTTTGGTTTGCTGATACCGCGCACTGACCATCAGACCATGATTATCTTTCTCTCACCTTGCGATTCCTCAAGCAGCTGGGCGTTGACCAGGGCTACGGGCGTGGCGAGTTGAAGGACGGCGACGCACCATGCGAGTGCCAGCGCGCGCTGCACCCATCGCTCTAGTAGTAGTAGTAGTAGTTGATGTTGTAGCACCATCATGATTCCCTCGCGGGATTCACCGGGCGGCCTCACTTGGGCCGCCTACGCTGGACGAGAATTGGGGCAGCCGGCGCGAGGGTGGAGCGCTGCACTGCGCCCCACAAGCGCCGCGGACTCGGGCCAAACGCGGCCCCGGCGCGAGGCGGGCTCTTCTCCCGCCGCCACGAGCCGAGCTCGCGACTGCTCTCCCCTCACGCTAGCGGCACTGCTTTGCGACTAATCTCGGTATTCCCACGGGCAGCCCGTGGATGAAATTTAGGCGCACGAGTGGGCCACGTGGGGTCGGTGGGCTGATGGGGTCGTTGAACGCGGTGGAAAATGGAGCGGCTGATAAGGCCGCTACACGATACGGGACGAGACGCTTTGCGAGTGAAATCGGACTACGGCAAAGAAGGGTGGGTGGGACCAGAAGCGGCGCTTGGGTTGAGAAACTATGTCTTGGTTGCGGCCGCCCTGGCACAGGTCTAGTCTCAGTGGTCACACGATGGGCCATACCTCCAGTCGTCACTCGTGTGTGGACGAGAGTAGTTGTGCGATGAAAAGTCGGCTGGGTGAGAAGGAGAACAGGGGATTTCTATTGTTTGATTGTGTGGACTGCAAGGAATCATCGTCTTCTCACATTACTGCGTGGACTACAGCCGTTCGATAAGAGAACCTCAGTACAACGTTAACAAGATTGGTGGGACTCTTTTATTTGGATGACTGAATAGTAAAGGTTAAGGTAAAGGTAGAGGGAGATGCCCCGTTCGTGTCACCCCGGCTATCGGACGTTACCCGCCTCAATCATTTGCACGCCTCTTTAAAACCAGGATCTCATGTAGATAATTTGTTTTGCAGTTGGTGATGGGGGCTTGGCTGTGATTGGTGAACGAGGTGGTTAGTCTGACGAGGGGTGAAGCGAGGGGTGCGAACTAAAGACAAATCTCAAGTTCGAATCAGAGCCAGGGATGCACGGAATCTGGTTTGGTGACGAAGCTCCAACACCTGCAATTTCTCGTCACCCCTAAACAATCTCATGCACCAGCAAAATGTTTTGCATTTGCTCCAGGGGCAAAAAAGTGGGTGTGTCGCACATTCAACTTCCTAACCAACCAATCAATTCGCCAACACAAATAGGGTAACGAAAGCTGCAAGTGTTTTGCAATTGAAAGCCAATTCGCGTACTTGAGATCCTGGCTTTAAGTAACAAATAAGGATGTTGATTGACATGGCGTTACAAGGGGTTGTACCTGGACTTTTGTTCTGTAAGGTGACATAGCTAAAAGTCGAGTCATTTTAGAAATTGACAAGGGGAATAATCCAAGGTAGTGGGTTTGTTAGCAGCCATGGACTGAACCAGGGACGTGTAGAGGCTGGCTATTTCCGAAGTCCGCGCCGAATTATTTGCCCCTGGAATTTCTTTCATAAGCAGGGATCCAGAGCATGATATGAGCTCCTTGACGACTGCTCTGCAGACTCCTTGAAGAGTCTTGTCTTAATATGAGCAGAAAGAAAGCAAATCGCTACCGTCAGGGCAAGGCCTCCCATAAGACATTTCACTATCCACCTTTTCACCTGCTTTATAGGCAGGCGATCAAGCCACCTTCACTTGCGACACCAGAATAAATGATCTACCATACAGCCAGGGCCCCAATCACGCATCAACCACTAGAGACACTATCTGTTGTTGTCTGATTCTTGTGCTCCCCCCCAACACATACACAAGCGCACACATCCCAGATTAAGTTTATAGAGTGACAAACGAGGCCACCACTGTGCGCAGCTTCTCATCCACCTTGCTCCAGCGGCGCTCATTCGCCCCTGTTGTCAGCGTGTAGAACTTGCCTGCACCACCACCACCACCACCAGACACACACACACACACACACACACACACACACACACACACACACACACACACACACACGGAGTCAGCCAGTGAAAACAGACAGCACCACCACACAAAATGAGAGCAGGACAATGCTGCCCAGGACCACAACCCACAGTCTTTGGAGTCTAAACCTTGGAGTGACTACCATCATCCCATCTATGGGTGAAAAAACAACTGAGATTAGCCTTGTACCGTCTCCTTTGCCACTGCGATCTGTTGCCATTGTACATGCAGCCAACCTGCCGCAACACCTACCATTGGCGATGGCGACGGTGCCGAGAGCATGGCGAGTGTAGGAAGATGCCTGCGCCACAAATTCGAAGTCATAGTACGTGCGCCCGTCCACCTCCCTCTGTGGGAGAAAAGGGTGGATACAAGGGGACAGAAACGGCAGAAAGGGCAGAAAGGGAGAGGCAGAAGCCAAGCTGCTGAACGAGCGAGCGAGGAAGCAGCGATGCATGGTAGCAGGTGTGGTGTTTGGGCCCCTCGGTGGAAGGGAAAGGCAGATAGAGAGGGCGAGACAGAAGCTGAGGCAGGCCGATGGGCATCGATTATCAGAAAGGAAGGCATGGATGCAAGGTTGGAAGACAGGCAGGCAGGACGGTGGGAAGATGGGGGACGAAAAGAAGATGGCCATTGCGTTGCCCGTCGGGAGCAGTGCCAGCACATGCAGCGAGAAGACTCATGCTCAGAGCACAGCATCTGAACAGCTTTCCTTACTCTTGAGTCTTGACTGCTCTTCGTAGACTAGGACTGGTCTGGACATACATGAAAGGGTGGGTGCTAATCCCATGCAGTCCCACCCCCCATGGCTGCCCATCTCACAGCATCTCACCACGTTCCAGTAAACTCGCATGCCATACAGGTGCCCTGTCGTCTTGCCTGTGCATGCCTGCCCATACCCGCACACACCGGCCCACACCAGCCCACCCCACCCCGCGCCAGCATGCGCCAGCCCGTGCCAGGGAGGTGACTCATCTCACCACGCGTGTGTCCAGCAGCTTGGTCTTCTGTGAGGGCGCAGTAAGCACCTTCTCCACCAGCGTCTGTGCCACCTGCTCGCGGCAGCGCGGGTTGTGGATGCGGGGGGGAAGAGAAGAAAGGCGGAGGGGAGAAGAGGGTAAGACGAGAGAAAGATGAGAATTCTTAAGAGCTTGGTCTTTTGTGAGGGCGCTGTGAGCACCTCCTCCACCAGCGTCTGTGTCAGCTGCTCGGGGTAGAGCAGAGAGCAGGGTGTGGTGGGGTAAGGGAGGTTGCAGTGGGGAGAAGAAAGGAATGGGAATGGGAAAGGGGATGGGGAAGGGGTGCAAGGGCGGGAAGGAATGAGCAACTGGGATGAGTGGGAAGCGTGGGATAAGTAGACAGGCACAAGCATAGAAGCTCAGAAACCCGTTCATCCAGAGCTGAGCAGAGCAGAGCAGACAAGGTCATGTTGCAACTAAGTCATTCACACTGGCACCCAATCCCCTCGAACTACCAAAGGACCACCGGCAAAGCAATTTTCTACTTGTCTTTCAGGTCTACCCGTACTCCCTCCCACATCGCCCCTTTCTCCCTCTCGCCCTCCCCTCCTGTCTCCCTCCCACCCCTTTTCCCTCCCCCAGCCTTCCCCGTGGTGTGCCCTGCTCTGAAGCTTGCAAGCGATCCGCTGCTAATAACAGGGCAACCAGACAGGAATCGTGATGCTCAAGGCTCATGTGCATGAGAGCTTGTATCTCCCTCAACAAGTCAGCCAGTATCGTGCTCACAAGCTCGCCCTTCCCCTCCCCCTGGTCCCAAACCCCAGACATTCACCTTCGCTTTGCTAATACCGCCAGCACCAAATTCTGAGGCACCTTAAATAGAACAGGCAGCTCTTCCCTGGGTTCAAAACCCCTCCGTTTCTGGGTTCCTGGATTCCACCCGCACGCACCGGCCCATGCATGCCCTGTGGCTCATCGCCCTCACGATCGCCCCAGTAGAAGATCTCCAAGCCCCCCACTTGCACCCCTTCCCACCCATCCGCCAACCACACCCGATCACCCCTCCTCCCGCACCCCACCCCACCCCACCCCACCCAATGTGTGACAACTCTCCAGAACCACGGCCACGCCCCAAGCCCGCCTTCCCCTATGCACACACACTGGCGCACCTGTTCAATGGGGCCAATCTCAGTGAGCGAGGCGCGCTCCGTGGCGTGGGGAAGATGGGATGTTCATCGCCACGCTTTCCAGCGGCTCACCACACCACCCACCCACCCACCCACCCACCCACCCATCCATCCATCCATCCATCCATCCATCCATCAATTTATACGCCACCCACACTCCATCACCACGAACCGCACCTGTTCAATGGGGCCAATCTCAGCGAGCGAGGCGCGCTCCGTGGGGAAGATGTTGACCGCCACGCTCTCCAGCGGCTCGATGACGTCCTTGAATACCACGTCCTGCCCGCGCACACTCACCTCCTGGTGGGGGGGGAAGAGGGGGGCAGCGGGAGGGGGCAAGGGGCGGGGGAGTCTATTTCGAAGGCTCAATGACGTCCTTGAATACCACGTCCTACCCGCGCACGCTCACCTCCTGGTTGGGGGGGGAAGGGGGTAGGAGGTGGGGGAGGGAAGCGGAGAGGATGGAGGGGGGGAGGAGAGGAGGGGTGAACAGGGAAGTTGGGGGTGCAAGATTAAGGGGATTCTTTTTCTGATGCTCATTCACGTCCTTGAACACCGCGCCTACCCGCGCACGCTCACCTCCTGTGAGAGGGGGAAAGAGGGGAAGAGGGGAGGGAGCAGGGGGAGGAGGCAAGGGGAAGAACATGGGCGGAACGTGTGTGGATAGAGCGGGTGTGGGGCGGAAGGAGTGCGGGCGGGAGCACAAGGCCCCTTGGCGGAACGAGCAGAAGCGGAACTAACTCGGGCGGTACGAATGGGCGGAACGAGAAACGAGCGGAACGACGATCGGTGTGGGAAGAGCATGGATGGTGCGGAGAAAGAAGGGAGAACGAACGCGAAAGAAGCGGAGAAAGCGGCGGCGCGCACCTGCCAGCCGAAGGGATAGTAGAACTGGTAGCGGTCGATGGCGTCCTGGTATGCCGAATAGCCCTTGGGCGCCGCTGCACATGCACAGACACGTGGCGCGAGAAGAGCAGAGCGGGGAGGGCGGAGCGGCGAGAGCATGGGATGGAAGGAACCTTCAAACGGCGTCCGTTCACTGAGACGTCTACTGAGGTACCTCAGTGGACGTTTTCTATTTCTGGTCGCTGCGCCTCTGCATTAATTAAAACACGCGCATGTGCAAACATGCCAGCTTCCTAGCGTGAGCCCGCCGGCTAGCGTGAGCCCGCCGGCTAGCGTGAGCCCGCCGGCTAGCGTGAGCCCGCCTTGGTCGAGGAAGCTGTGGCTGACCTGATTTAACTTGCACACCCGCTCGACCAGCGCACAGGGATGCGCGCGTTGTTCCAGCTTTGCCTGCAGTAGCATGATGGACTATTCCCCGTGCCAGCTGTGTGCTCAGCGCGCTCACTACGCCAACCGTGCTCAGCTGTAAGCCGTGCGATGCAAACTGCGCAAACCGTGCAGGCAGCGCCAGTTACGACATGATCTTCTTGCCTTCTTGCATTCCCCCTCGAGAACTCCGCAGGCTCCGACTCGATTGCAACCCGCGCGCGCGCATACCGCCGAGCAGCGCTATGCCGAGCAGCGCTATGCCGAGCAGCGAGCGCGAGAGGAGGGCGGGGGGAGGAGGGGGAGGGGGGCGGGCGCTGCTCCGCACTCACCGAGCGCAAGCGCAGAGTCGAGGAGAGGAGCAGGGGCGAGCGCAAGGGACACGGAAGACGCGACACCGAGAAGCACGTTCCGCCTGGTCGCCGCGGGGGTGGCTGATGGCGGAACAAAAGAGGGGGGGAGGGGGGGAGAGGAGGGGGGTGGAAGGGTGGGGGGGAAGGGGGAAGGGAACGAGGGAGTGGGGAAAGGGGAAGGGGGGGGGAGGAGGAGGGGAAAGGGGAAGGAAAAGAATGCGGGGTTGCGAGCAATGCAGGGAGGAATGAGTGGAAGTGCGAACGGAAGGCAAGAGGAACGGAGGCACGAACGGGAATGGAACGCCATAAATTTGACTCTCGGCTGGAAACCATGAGATTGGTAGGGAAGCGAAAGAGTTTACCCGCTTCACGTCGACCTGAAACATCTGCCGATAATAGGCTTTCTTGTTAAAATTATTAGAAGAACATCCCTATTGTGACAATATCCGAAATCTGACTGTATTGAAACTCTTTCATAATCGGATCATGCCGAAATGCATCGCGCAAGCATCAGTCACCGTTGCCGCCTGTCGCATCACGTCGCGCGCTAGACTGTGACAATTATCCTAGATAGTATTGTACGCTCAGTCGTACATGCAACAGTCGAATTACCTTCCGTTTTAGATTGTGTCAACTATATCAAACTATGTCCACGACACGCGTCAATCGCATTACCTTCGCAGCGAGTCGCACGCGACTGCCGACCGGCTTGGACTGCTCGCTCGGGCTGCGCCACGCACGCGACCTTCCTCAACCCGCTTTCGCTCGCGCTGACGCCCCCCGCGTTGACGCGACCCGACCAGCTCAGCGCGTCGGAATGTTGGCAGAGCAGCGATGATGTGGCGACTGAAGTTGCAGCCATGTCGAAAGCTGAAGTGGTGGAGCTCGAGAGCTGTTTAACGTCTACCGTCGGAAGGACGGAAGAGCGGGAGGCAGTGCAAGCTCGGCCGGAGGACGGTAGCTGGAATTGAAGAACGCAACTTTACTAATGATGGGTCGGTACTAATTGAAGGCATTTCAGCAGTGGAGCTAGATTCCTTCTTGCCCAGCCGTGCTGAACCAAGCCAGGAAATGAAAGAGAGAACAAGCTTGAACAAGCCAAGCAACGAGGTTCGGGTAAGGCTTGGGTGAAACTCAACTGACGCTCTGAGCTCGTTACGTTCCGTACCTGCTGTTTGGCCTGGTATGGTCAGGGCTTGAAGGGGATATGCCACCTGCTTGCCTTGGAGGGACATTGCGATGTTCGAAGTGCGTGACGTGGACAACAACTGTGTCAGGTTGAAGATCTTCCTTTCTGATGTGGCGAACGAAGCTGGGTATACTTACGTAAGCAAAGAGGTCCACGTTTTCTGCCTTTTGAACGTGGACGATACTGCGCCACAGCAAAGACGCTTCAACCCAGGGCAGGTTCGTGTGAAACAGGAGACAAGCCTGAAGTTTCCGTAGAATTCTGTAGATCAGCGAATCCAGTTCCTTGTTCTGTACCAGAATGCATTACTGTGCGTAAATGTGCCAACCTGCCATATCGAGGATGATTCGGGGTCCAAGCACCGACAGCCAGTCACTCGTTGCTCTATTCGGGCCGAGGGTGTCGGGTTCCTCAGCGAGGGAGGGGCCGCGAGGGGGCCCGATGCCCTCGCCGTCGTCACCCCGGGCACGCGAGCGAGGCCAGCCTGGGACTGCCCTGTCAACCGGCTGCCTCGCCCGACCCTCCTGGCGAGGGAACCGAGGCCCGGCCCTTCGGAACCTGACCGGGACGCCGGGCCTCGGCTGCCCGTGGGGACCACCCAGCTGAGTCAGAACCCGACCTGGTGACGCAGCTGCTCGGGGACCACCTGACTCGTCCAACTGCCGTGCCGAGCCACGCTGACGGGCAGGGGCCCGGACCGGTAACCCCCCCGGCGACCCATGTCCTCGAAATATCCCGACCGTCTGCGACCTTCGCGAATGACGATGTTGTTACGATGCTGTTGAAAGCCCGTGCATGTCGGTTCGTTCTTTTCGATGTTGCGCGACGATGTTGTTGAAAGCGCATGCATGTCGTTTCGTTCATTTCGATGTTGCGTTTTTTCATTTCTTATTTCATTAGCGCATCACAATAACGAAAACAACTATACCCGGAAACAACTCCATCACAATCGTGTTAAACTGTATTATGCTTGTAGGCTGTAGTGGGGTAGCCAATATGGGGTACAACCCCAACTAGGGTTTCATATTTGTACCCAAACTTCTGCTAGTTCATCCATTCTTGCCTAGTTATTCTGAGATGGTATTCAGAGCAGGAGGTCCCTAGGACCTACCGACCGTTTTTTTTTTTAAGGGCCCACCACCGCTCGCATGCGGTTACCACGCTACCCCGTGCCCTAGCCTCGTAGCGCCCTCGTGCGCCCTCGTTAGCGCCCTCGCGCGCCCCTCGTTAGCGCCCTCGCGCGCACCCTCGTTAGCGCCCTCGCGCGCCCCTTCGTTAGCGCCCTCGCGCGCCCCTTGCTAGCGCCCTCGCGCGCCCCTCACTAGCGCCCTCGCGCGCCCCTCGCCGAGCCGCCCGCTCGCAGCCCGCCCGCCCGCTCGCTGCCCGCTTCGCGGCCCGCCCGCTACGCAGCCCGCCCGCCCGCTCGCTGCCCGCTTCGCGGCCCGCCCGCTTCGCAGCCCGCTCGCTCGCTGCCCGCTTCGCGGCCCGCCCGCTTCGCAGCCCGCTCGCCCCGCTGCCCGCTTCGCAGCCCGCCCGCCCGCCCGCTGCCCGCTTCGCGGCCCGCCCGCCTCGCAGCCCGCTCGCCCCGCTGCCCGCTTCGCAGCCCGCCCACTTCGCAGCCCGCCCGCCCGCTAGCTGCCCGCTTCGCGGCCCGCCCGCTTCGCTGCCCGCTCGCAGCGCCGCCCGCCCGCCCGCTACCTGCTTCGCAGCGCCGCCCGCTGCCTCACTGCCCGCTTGCTGCGTCGCCCGCCCACACCGCTGCCCGCTTCGCAGCTCGCCCGCCGCGCTTCTCACCTGCTGCTCCCTGCCTGTGCACTGCCGCTTTCTCCTGCTGTGGCTACTAGCTTCGCTCTAGCGCGTCCCCTCTGCTGCTGCCGCTGCTCTGCTGTGCCCTCACGCCTGAGCTATGGCCTCTATTCGCGTTCTTTCCTTCGATGCTGAGGGCCGTCCCGTGCAGTTCACTTCCTGGCTCGACGACCTGCAGTTGTATCTTATGAGCAATAGCACGGACCACATCTCCCTCTATGACTACGCGTCTGGTGCTGCCGCTGCTCCTGCTGCCACAGCCGAACTTAGTGTTCGTTCCCACTGGCAGACTCGTGACGCAGCTGCTCGCCTAGCCATTCGCAGTCACCTGCCGCTAGCTGAGCTCGAGCATTTTGGCGACTGCAAATCCGCTAAGGCCCTGTACGATGCTGTCGTCGCTCGCTACTCCTCGCCTGCCACAGCCGAGCTTAGCCGCCTCATGCTGCCGTACCTGTTCCCCGATCTGTCCACCTTTACTACAGTCGCCGATCTTATCACCCACCTTCGCACTAGTGATGCTCGCCTGCGTGCCGCCCTTCCCACCGAGTTCTGCGCTAAGAACCCCCCTCCACTGTACTGGACACTCCACTTCATAGTCACCCGTCTCCCTGACACCCTCCGCTCAGTTCGAGACCACTTCCTTGCTCGCTGTCCCACTGAGCTCACAGTCGCCCTCCTAGAGGAGCAGCTGCTCGCGGCCGAAAAGAGCATTGTAGCTGTCGGTGCTGCTCGTGGCGCTCCTCGCACCCCCATCTTTGAGGGGTGTTCTCCCTCTCCCCTCGCTCCCTCCTACGCTGCTGCTGCTGCTGTTGACTTCCTTGGTGCTGAGTCTGTTGGCGCTGCTTCTACTCCTGGTGGGAGGCGCCGCACCGGCAAGGGCAAGGGGGGCAAAAGTGGTGGTGGTGGCGCTGGGGGGGGAGGAGGTGGGGGAGGTGGGGGGGGAGGCGGTGCTGGAGGGAGCGGTGGCGGGAGCGCTGGTGGGAGTGGGGTCGGTGGTGGAGGCGGGGGCGGCGGAGGAAGCAGTGGCAGTAGTGGCGGCGGCGGCGGTGGCGGCGGTGGCGGTGGTGGCGGTGGTGGCGGTGGCGGTCGGAGCGGTGGTAGTGGTGGCGGCGGAGGTCGGAGTGGAGGCACTGGCTCGGGCCAGAGCTCCCAGCAGCAGCAGCGTCCCCAGACGACCCAGCAGCTTCGTGAGTGGCTTGCTCAGCGTGGGACGTCGGGGGCCAGTGGCCGCTGTTCTTATGTCATTCGCACAGGTGACCGCAAGGGACAGACGTGTGGGAGGTTCCACACCCCGTACCGCTGCTTCTCCCGCCTTGACGACGCTTGGCGTGAGGAGATGGGTGCGGATGTTGAGCGCCCCCGCTGGGCTGAGCTCATGAGGGCTGGTGTTGATGTCTTTGCTCTTGACTATGATGCTATTATTGCTGCCATGTATGCATTGACTGTTAGTGCCGAGGGAGACTGTTACTTGTGTGTGCCGCCTGACCCAGGTATAGAGCCCGCTGCCCTGGGTACTAGTGAGTCTGCTCTCTCTGGTATGGTGCCCCCTGTACTTGCTCCCCCCAGTGCTGTCCCGGCTGGTTTCGAGTCTGCTCTCTCAGGTACAGCACCCACAGAGACTGCTCTCTCAGGTACCGCACCGGCTGAGGCCTGTCACACCTTCACCCTTGACTCAGGTGCTTCCCGTTGCTTCTTCCGTGACAGTACTGAGCTCACACCGCTTCCTGCACCGGTCCCAGTCTCCTTGGCTGACCCCTCTGGGGGCCCAGTCCTTGCCCAGTCCACCACTGTCCTCCCTTGTCCGGCGGTTCCGTCTGGCTCGTTGTCGGGTTTCCACCTCCCCTCGTTCTCGACGAACCTGGTGAGCAACGCTGTCCTCCAGGATCAGTGGGTTGACACCTTTACCCCTGGCGGACAGCGTGTGGCGATCTGCACGTGCTCCAGGACCGGCCGTCACCTGGCTACGTTTACCCGTCGGCCGGGGTCGAGTCTCTACACACTGACCACTGCGTCTCCTCAGGTCGCTGCTGTCGGTCAGGTGTCTGCGTCAGGTCTGGTAGCCCACGCCTGTGAGTGTCGTTCCCTGTCGCACCAGACTCTTCTCTGGCACCACCGCCTGGGTCACCCCTCCTTGCCACGCCTTCGTGGCATGCACCGTCGCCACCTTGTGTCCGGTCTTCCCAGGTCCCTCCCTCCCCTCCCTGCCTCGCCTGCGCCGCCTTGCCTTCCTTGCGTCGAGGGGCGGCAGCGCGCCGCTCCTCACTCCTCCTCGTTCCCCCCGACAGAGGCTCCTCTGCAGACCCTCCACCTGGACGTGTGGGGCCCAGCCCGCGTTCGTGGTCAGGGCGGTGAGCGGTACTTTTTGCTGGTTGTCGACGACTACTCGCGTTACACCACGGTCTTCCCCTTGCGCACCAAGGGTGAGGTCCCTGCTGTTCTGATCCCTTGGATCCGCACGGTTCGTCTCCAGCTCCGCCGCCGTTTCCGGACGGATCTTCCTGTCCTGCGTCTGCACTCTGACAGAGGTGGTGAGTTTTCCTCCGATCTCTTGAGGACCTTCTGTCAGGCGGAGGGCATCGAGCAGACCTTCACGCTTCCGGACTCCCCACAGCAGAATGGGGTTGCTGAGCGCCGCATTGGCCTGGTCATGGAGGTCGCTCGTACCTCCTTGGTCCACGCGGCGGCTCCCCATTTTCTGTGGCCGTTTGCTGTCCGGTACGCCGCGCATCAGCTCAACCTCTGGCCCCGTGTCTCCTTACCGGAGACCTCGCCCACACTGCGTTGGACGGGGGAGGTTGGCGATGCGTCGCGCTTCCGGGTGTGGGGTGCTCGTGCCCTTGTCCGCGATACGTCCGCGGACAAGCTCT